CAGTGCCAGATTGCCTTGATGGTGTTTGACAAACTCGCCCCGGAGTATGTGGACGGGCTACTATGTGATGTGACCGAGGCAGCTGTCAGCGATTGGTGGACAGATATTGGGACAGACCTGTACAACATTGAGCCAAGCGACAGCAGCCTAGGACCTACCAGCGTGGCTGCGTTGCTGGGTACGTTGCTCGGAGCTCGAAATCGACTACACGCCTATGGCGCCCCCGTCGGGAAAGATGCATTCGACTTCCCTAACATGAAAAGAGGAATTGCTGGTTTCCAAAAGTCTCAAAAGATGAGGCGGTCGCGACGACTGGATCGAGTTACATTGGACCGGTTACACCGCGTCACGGCCAAGGCTGCCAATGCAGAAGGCTGGACCGACGCAGTGAAATCAACCATGGCGGAGCTCAGTGGGCAGGGTGGTGAGATGGTTATGGGGATGGTCCGCGGGCGCGACAAAGGCGGCATTGCCGATATCGAAACGCTGGATCTTGACACATTCGTACAGTGCTGCAATGGCGAGAGAGCAAAGTGGCTGTGGCTGGGTAAACCGCGCAAGAGTGGCGTTGAAGACGGGTTCACTCGCGGGACTGGATCCGATATGATGTTTACCACTGATGAGCAAGGCGGTTATGTTTGGACTAGTCGCAAGAAACATTCGACAGAGGATATGAATGCCGAGCGAGTAGGCTCGGGGCTAGATCATTCTTGGAAGATGCCAGAACCGACTGTTGAAGAAAAGGACCACCGAAAGAAGGGCGTCAGCGGACGAGTTTCAGACGCGCGGGCCGGGTTAGGGCGTTTCAAAGATGCAGTCGGATTGCAGGGCCTTCGCCATCACCATCATCCTGCACGAGACAGCTCCGACTTGACACACGATCTTGCATACCATCCGTCAATCGACAGTGACAACGAGGCACCGTCAACAAAAACGCGGACTGACTGTGGGCTCCGGCCAGAAAGAAAGGTATCAAATGATATCGAAAAGCTCATTGAGGAGGAAGAGAAGCCTCAAATGTCGCCGACTCCCGAGTCCGAGAGGAAAGCTCCTGAAATCCATATCGAGCCTGTACCAGAAGGTGACCCAGAAACGCAAGCTCCAGACTGGCCCAATACACAGCAGCCTCCAATCATCGAGGAAGAATCCGATATGGAACGTGTTATGTCTCAGTCGACGGCAGCATCGACGGACCGCGAACGTGACCGTGACGGTTCGATCAGCGGGATAGCTGTCATGGCCTTGCGGCGGCCGCAAAGTTACGAAGAATTCCAAAGCCTCGAAAGTGAGATTGAACGGCGAGACAATTTTTGCGCACGACACCTGTCGTTCAGCACAGTTGAAGAAGTGGTACTCAAATGGGAGCCGCTCGGCGGGAAACCAACGTTCAAAGAAACGGATAACCTGGAGGAGGCCATCGTCCAAGAAGACATGCTTGCCTCCGAGGGGCGTATCTTCAGCTCGCGGATTCAAGAGTTGAGCCAGCGTACCGTGCCTTGGGTTGAGCGACAAGTGAATTCCGTGGACGGTCTCAACCAACTCCTATATGACCGCCACGAAGAGCTTAACTCAGTCTACCTGGAACGATTCGGCGACTACCAGAGACTGCGCGAACGATCCAGTGACATCCTCATAGATGAGAGCCACCACCTCGCCGATGGTGTGAAACGCGTGGAGCTGCTGGGTGCCAAACTGGACTACGAACTACACGTCCTCGAGTCCAAAGTCGAGGATATGGAAGCCGGCTTGAGTGACTTTGACCGTCACATTGTAAATGTCGAGACTAGAATCAAAGCCCTGGTCAAAGGCGAGGAACAGCACGACACTTCCTGGACCGCATGGATAGCACGATCCATGGGCTTCTCGACCTAACGACGACTTGTATGATATTTTCTTTTTTCATTCTCTGGGTTTTCCCTTATCCTCCATATTGTACATAGTCAGATAGACCGGGCGATCGTATCTTCCATCTGTGATGGTATAAACGTGAACCATCATTCAAAACAGGCCCAGTTTCAATAGGCCGAACCAGTCCAATAGCCTTACACAGAAACAAAGACCATCGAGCTCTCTAGCTTCTTAAGGCTACCAGAGCTCCTTTCCAAGAAATTTCATAGCCAACACGTTTACATGAAGCCCATGCCGCCACCCTGCTTGTTGGCATTGGCCTCGCCCTGCATCTTCTCGCTGACCTTGATGTTGACGTCGAAGAACTTGGACACGCAGCGGTCGAGACAGACCGACTCGCCCTTGTTGAGGTCGCCTTCGCGGTAATCGGCGGGGATACACTTCTTGGTGCAGGACTCAGTCAAGCTATGGGTCGCGACGAGGACAAGTTAGAATGGTTCCGGCATATAGATAGTTCGAAGATGGCTTGGAATGGGGTTTCTGCAGTCTGCAGATTCCTGAATCGAGATACAGCGCTTGGGGTATCAGAGCTTCGACTTACCGGTTGAACATGTCTGAGATCATCTCGACTTCTGTCTCGGCGGCAGCGATCTTCTCTGCCGAGGACATCTTGGGGGCACCGCCGAAGAGGAAAGACATGATGTATATGTGTTCGGAGTAGATTTGGAATGTAGATGGTAATGAGAGGCTCGATATGTGGAGTAGAGCACCAGAGAGTCCAACGTATTCGGACGGGAGGTCGGAGAAGCTTGGGCCACCCGCGTGGAAAAACTCGGTTCTGCCGTTTCTTCTTCTTCTCCTCTTCTCAACAATGTGAGAGCCATTGGCATTTGCTATGCTTTCAATTCGCCCTAGATGGGCTTTATCTGGCTTTGGCCTGCAAAACAGGTAAGATTTGCAATTATTGTTTACTGTTTTACTCTCTCATTTTTCACCACCTCCCATCTCCCCTTATATGATGATTTATCCCCGCATTAGAACCGCTACAGTGATGTCCTTTTGGGCACTGAACGTACTGGATTTTATCTGACAAAGCTTAATGCTTAATTTTGGACCAATTGTCTCTACTATCTCGAACATTGCTGACCCGGAACCTTCAGTGCCGGACGGCGACTCGCAATACAATCCCGTATCCAGACTCCCTTTACACGACTAACCATACAGCCAATTCGAAAGAATAGCTCTGCAGCATCGCCAGGGAAGGCCTTGCAGGAGCGTGTACAGCAGATCAAAGATGCCTGCTCAGACCCATACCCTCGCCTAGCAGTGGACACACGCACGGTGAGCTGCGCGGAGTTTCGCTCTCGCTACGCCGAGCTCGCCGACAATGATTCAGTAGAAGACACAGTCATCGTCTCTGGTAGGTTCTGCTTTCTGGCCTTTACAATGCCCATGTACTTAGAATAGTAGGAAGAATCCGTACCTATAGACTCGCCGGAAGCAAATTGATCTTCTTCGATATCGTGCAAGATGGTCATAAAGTCCAAGTGATGTGCAACAAGCGTCGTCTGGACAGCGTCTCTCCCGAGGACTTCAAGAAGTTCTATCGTCTTCTGCGTCGCGGTGACGCTTTCTGTATGTCTCGTCTCCTTCCGGCTTGACTCGAGTGTCGCCCGCTAAACGTTGTTCTAGCTGTAACCGGTAGGCCGCACCGCACCGGGCGAGGCGAGCTCACTATTGATGTGAGTGAGTTGCCGCAGCTGCTCTCGCCGTGTCTGCATGATGTCCCCGTGCACAATGCCGAGCATGAGACCTCTCCCTACCCTCGCCATGTCCAGTTCCTGGCCAACCCCGCGACGGCCGACATCATTCGAGCCCGCTCGGCTCTTGTACAATATCTACGCCAGTTCTTTGTCGACCGGTCCTTTATGGAGGTCAGCACCCCGATTATCGGGTCTGTGGCAGGCGGTGCTATTGCTCGTCCGTTCTATACCTCCGCCACTGAGTTCCCCGACCGCCAGCTGTCGCTGAGAATTGCGCCAGAGCTGTGGCTCAAGCGGTTGGTGGTTGGTGGATTTGAAAAGATTTTCGAAATTGGACCTTCGTTCCGCAATGAGGGTGTGTCGAAACAGATAAGCAAGACCTGTCTAGCAAGGCTGATGAGATATAGGACTGGACAAAACCCACAACGCAGAATTCACCACCTGTGAATTCTACCAGGCATATGCCAACCTCGAGGACCTAATGACCATGACCGAAGACCTCCTCTCCGGCATGGCAGTCCACATCCGCGCCTTAAACACAACAGGCACTCTCAACCCCACCACAGCCAACTTCACAGCACCATTCCGCCGCATCGACTTCCTTATAGGCATCGAAGAGGCCACCGGTCACAAACTGCCTAACCTTGAATCCCCGGACGCCCTAGATAAAGTCTACGCCATGTTTACCGAACTCTCCCTCCCACTCCCAACGAACCCAACCCTCCCCCGCCTCCTCGACGAGCTATGCAGCGTCTACGTCGAATCGCAATGTATCGACCCAACCTTTATCATCAACCCACCCGAATGCCTCTCCCCACTCTCCAAATCCTTCATCCACCCGACGACCAAACAGCGCGTCGCCGCGCGCGGCGAACTCTTCATCGAAGGCAAGGAAGTGGTGAATACATACGAGGAGGAGAACTCGCCCTTCGAGCAGCGCCGCAAATTCGAGGACCAACTGCGGTTTAGCAAGGCTGCTGGTGAAGCCGGCGAGATAGACGAGAGCTACCTCGAAGCGCTGGAGTGGGGTTTACCTTCTACCGGTGGATGGGGTTGTGGCGTCGACCGTCTCTGTATGCTGTTCACGGGGGCTAAGCGAATTACGGATGTGTTGCCATTTGGTAATCTAAGGGCTGTGACAAGACGACATGGGCAGTAGCGAGTGAGGATTCTGTAAAATAGATGTGGCTTGTACGATATACGACATAAGAATGAGACGATATGGAATTCTCGACTCCTTATTGGATATGGTATTTAGATCCCTGCATCAAGTAACATCGTGTCAAATTTAGTGCAAATAGGCGAAGAAGTGCCCTGTTATATCGAGAAGATACGCTAAGTTGATAAACTCTTGGAAGCGGGGAAGTTGATTTTGATTTCTACAACATCATGGAGACCAACACGGCTGAGGCCGTTACTGTCAGTCTGCAGGAACTTGTAGACGGTAAGTTGTGTATTAAAAAGAAGAGAAGGAAAAGAAGTAGATGCTGAGCCAAGCAGGAACTGTATCCTTCGACACTCTAACCAGAGCCTTCGGACCCTCCTCTCTGGGCATCATCATCGTCAAAGACCTACCCTCGACCTTCAGTGACCTGCGGGCAAAAGTTCTCTCTAATGCCTCGTACCTGGCGGCTCTCCCTGAACCCGAACTGGGTGAGTCTCCCAACGCCCCGACTCCAATCGGCAGCAAAATCAAACTAACCTCCACGTAGACTCCCTCAGCAGCCCAGAATCCAAATACTTGGTCGGCTGGTCCTGCGGTAAAGAAACCCTGAAATCAGGCCATTTCGACACGTTAAAGGGCTCGTACTACGTGAACTGTGCCTTCTATCAGGATGCATCTCTAGATAGCGCCCCGGCAGATGATTTCCCAGATCTACCCCAGTATACCGCGCCAAACATCTGGCCTTCGCCAACCAAATTACCCGAATTCAGAGGTAGCGTGGAGTCCCTATGCAGGTTGATCATCGATACCGCGGCTCTCGTCGCCAAGGCATGTGACCGGTACGCGGAAGCCAACATCGAAGGCTACAAGCCTGGATATCTGCACCATGTCGTGACAACCAGCCTGACAACCAAGGCACGACTGTTACATTATTTCCCCGGCAATCAGGAAGATGAGGCTGAAACCAGTGATGATGACTGGTGCGCCACGCACCTCGACCACGGCTGTTTGACGGGCTTGACATCGGCCATGTTCCTCGACGAAGCAGCTTCCCCTCCAACTCTTGATCCGTCTTCGGAGTCTGCATCCGCCCCTCTCCCCGAGCTTTCCCGTTCCCCCGACCCCTCGGCTGGACTGTACATCCGCTCGCGCACTGATGAAATCGTCAAAGTCAATATTCCTAAGGATTGTCTGGCTTTCCAGACCGGCGAGGCCTTGCAGCTGATCACACACGGCAAGTTTATGGCCGTGCCACATTTTGTTAAGGGGGCTAAGGCTAGTCCTGGGAAGAAGATTGCGAGGAATACTCTTGCTGTGTTTACGCAGCCGAATCTTGCGGAGGAGGTTCAACCTGGGTTGAGCTTTGCGGAGTTTGCAAGGGGTGTTGTGCAGAAGAATTATTGAGTTGAGCTTGTAGCTTGTGCTTCCAACGTTTAGTTGGAATGACGTTAATTCAAATCATCCATTGGGTCTTTTTCGCCTTTCGTAGTGACTGGAATGGAATGGCCAACCAGAACCCTGGAGATTTCTCGGGAGGCAAATCCAACCCAACCAGATGAACCCAAGTGAGTGACGCACCAAACCCAATGCCCATCTCGGCGCATGAATCTCGGCATTGACAGAGTTTCCAGGTCCTGCAGCCAAGCAATTTCACTATAATTCAGTGCCCGAGATGCCGAGAGGTGAACCGAAACTCCACATAATTCCCCCTCGTTAACCCGGTTATGAGCAGATCCAAGATCTACCACCTGGAGATCTCCACATTTCCCCATAGTTTCCCAAGCGTGGAGTGAGATTTGCGTGTTGATCTTCACTCGATCCATCCCTACACCGTACTCGCCTATGCGGTCGTCTACGGACGTACGGAACTGTACATCGTCCCCATTAAAGGGTCCTGTTATGCCCAGAAGCCAGCTATGCCAAGAGTCACTTTCCTGAGACTTGTTTTCGGGTCCCTCCCCCGCACTATGGCTGATCTTCCCCAGGAATTCTGGTTCCATGGCGGTCATGGTGGTCATGGTGCCTAGGCGATGTGGTGGTGTCATGGCGTCCAAGACTTTTCTTCCAAGACTTTTCTACGCAGTATATAAAGCAGATCAAACTTGCAATTCGATTCAATTCCTTCTCGCCAGACTCATCCAGAATTACTGCACTACCGTCCTGGCCATACTCCTCCCTTCTCTGGAACCATACCACTCTTTCCCCGTCCTCTATACATCTACATCTATCTCACACCCTCCACAATGTCCCACGAAGAACGAATCAGTGTCAAAGACACAAACAACTATTCCTCCTCAAGCAACGACGACTACGAAACAGGACACTTCGGCCCCCTAGCCCACGTCAACACAGCCTCAAGCCGCTACCCTGCCTTCGGAGGTGACCTTCAGCCAGGTCTATACCGCATTCCCAAAGACCGCAAGCTCGCCAACCCGGCACCGCTGGGCCTCTGCGCATTCGCGCTCACCACCTTCGTGCTGGGATGTCTCAATATGAGTGTCAAGGGCATCACAAAGCCTAATATCATCGTCGGGCCTGCTTTGGCTTATGGTGGGTTGGTGCAGCTCTTGGCTGGCATGTGGTATGTTGTCCGGATATGTTCTGGAAGTGAAGTGTAGGCAGGCTTTTGCTAACGAAACTAGGGAAATGGCTATTGGTAATACCTTCGGTGCCACTGTGCTCTCGTCTTATGGTGGTTTTTGGATCTCGCTGGCTATTACATTCATTCCCGGTGGGTTTGATATTCTGGGGGCTCTTGAAGAGGCGGATCATGGGTCTCATTCTATGTTTTACAATTCGCTTGCGTTGTATCTCTTCGTATGTTATTCTGGGAAAAAATAAGGGGAAGAGAAAGCTAACTTGCTTCCTTTAGGGCTGGTTCATCTTCACAACGCTTGTTACGATGCTCACACTTAAATCTACCGTGGCTTTCTTCTCCCTCTTTTTCTTCGTTGACATCGCTCTTCTATTGCTCTCCCTTGGGTACCTTTTCAATGTGGACGGGGTGCCAAATGAAAAATTGATAAAGGCTGGTGGTCTCTTTGCTCTGCTTGGTGCTTTCTTGGCTTGGTATAATGCCTTCGCTGGTATGGCTGATAACACTAACAGCTTCTTTTTGCCTCCTGTTATTCATTTCCCCTGGTCCGAGAAGAAGATGTCCGCTAAACGGAATTCTGCTGGACAGAGTGAGGTATGAGGCAGGCGTGCTTGGTCTTGTATGAGGCTGGTATTTCATTCTTAGACATAGATATGAAATGATAATAACCATGTATGGAACCTACATCTCTTCGAGTATATTGTACGCCATGTTGGTATCTTGCGCTTATTCTTCGACCTTGAGATCGACTCTCCGGGGCTGCTCTACAGGATTACATAGCTGTGGGGATAACAATGATACACTGAATTGAGGCACTCTGATGACTTGGACATTGTACAATTCGCACATAATTTCATTTGGCTAAGATAGAATCATCCCTCCATAACGCCCATGGGTATCTTTGAATATGCCGCTAAAAGGAGGGAAAACAAACGGGCACATCGGATCGATCAATCTAAGTAAACGGATAATCACTATCCTCCTCAGAAGAATGACCACCTTGAAGCCCCAGCCCAGACACACCTCCAGACACTTGATCACCCAATCCAGTGCCATCCTCAAATACATCCTCCAAGGAGTCATCCTCGGTTTCCGGCGCACTGCCAATAGCAGAGCTGACCAGTTTACTGGTTTGTGCAACGTGCGCAAGACCGGTCTTCCGCCGTGAGCTGGTACCCTTTGCAACAGATGAAGCCAGAGACTTGAAGGGTTGGCCACCAGAAGAAGGAATCTGAGCCTGACGCCGGAGAGCGTGACTAACTTCGCCGTGCGACATTTTGATGATCGCCTGCCACTTGCGCGGGTCTTCGCGCTGCACCGCTGTAAGACCGCACTCCACACCGTTGATTTCTGTTAGTCCGAGCGTCTCCACCCGGCAGTCGCCCCAGAACCACGTGTTGCCTTTGGGCATGCGCGCATCGACTTGTGACGAGTACTGACGACCTTCCATCACGCCGGGTAGGTCATAACCCAATGTGTGGGTGCCGAACATAAGCTCTGCCGCGAGCGGTTCGTAGCAGCGACCGATGATTAGGTGTGGGGAGACGTTGCAGATTCGGCCGTTGGCCATACGGTACCAGGGTCCGTATTCGCTCATGCTGACCTGGCGGAAGGTAGCGGTTGCTTCTTCCGTAGTGAGCGGGATAGGAACGGTTGCTGGGTTTGTACCTTTGAATACGCCTTCTTCGGTAACGCGCTCGGGATTGGTGGTGAAGACCCTACCGGATATCAGCGCTGTGAAGTGGTTTGCCAGCTGCTCCTCGTCGTCGTCGATACACTCTGAAAGGCAGAGTGCGATTTTTTCAATAACCATCACTTCTGTCACTTCGCAGACTGTTCGGTCATCGAGCTGGTCGTGGTGGAGTCCATGTGGCCGAAGACGAACAGTGTCGTGAACAGCAATGAGTTCGGCTCCAATGAAGATTCCCTTACAGTAGATCCTGGCATTGGGCCATTTGCCAATGATGTGGAACTTGTGGACCATGCTCCAGGAAGACATAACAGTCATGGCGTTCTCAATAGATGGGTGAATATCCTCTCGCTCTTGGCCATGGAGGTAGAGTTGCCATGTGTTGAAAGGTTTGATATTCCGCAACGGAACATAGGCGTATTGTACGGAGTAAGACTTGTCTTTACCCAGGGGATCTGGGAGAGTCTCCACCCGGAATCCAGAGTAGCTCAGCCCGCGTGGACTGTCCGGAGCTTCAATGATATCCACCATATGCTCTTCCTCCTCTGGGGTTTGGGTCACCACACCGGCACGCCAACTGGGCACGCCATGCCACTTGTTGTCGTTGCCGAATATTTCAATGAAGCCAGTCTCAGGGTTGCGCACCAAGCAGCCGTCTTCGAGACCCTGCCAGATCCAGAGAACAAGTTCACCACGACGGGGGACGTAGGCGGGATCTAGAACCAGTTTCATGAAGTAATCCGAAAGCCATTCCTGAGTCAACACCCAGTCAAGATTGAACTTCTGCTCAATATCTTCATCGAGGGTTCCCTTATCTTTCAATTTCATAACCAAGATTCGCCAGTAATCTGGTCCCTCTGCATCGGTTGGTCGACGCTCATTGGTGACTCAATGCGTGTCAATGGACAATCTAACATAGAGGCATGGTAGTACTCACCTGGCTGCACGACAGGTCTGGTTCCTTGCACCGTAGCCCCCACAACTGCAGTCCCTTGGCTTGTCTTCATCTTACCACACGGCTTGCATTGACACTTGTCCAGCTCGTTCTTGACCAGAGACATGAAATGGGGAAAGAAGGTCCTCTGTGATTGGAAATACTGACCGCTCGGATGGCCAAAGAGAAAAGGGTCAAACTTCACATAGGATCATTAGTTGTGGATCAAGATAAGAACTCTGGGAGAGCTCACCATGCCAGGATTGGTCCCACGCTCTCGCTCGAATAGACAGTATCCCTCAGGCAACTTTTCAATGGTATGAATGACACCTGATGTATGCTATTTCAGTCCAAGAGTAGAGATATGAAACATAGAAACAGAGATGGAAAGACAGAACAGGCCAGCATAAAGCTTAAAGGAGCAAAGGAGCAAATGAGCAAATGAGCAAATGACAGTTGAATTCAGCGACAGATGTAGTAACCCAATTCGTGCAACGCGTAAAACAACACAGTCAAACAAAGCCAGCAAGCTAAACAAAACATGAACCTAAAACATCTGTAGTCAACTTACCTTCTTCGTAAGTGCCCATAGCTCTGAGCCAGTTGTCAGCAAGTAACTGCCGCCAGCGCAAATCAGAGCGTTCAGTGTAGTTACGAGTCTCAGGCCAGGTACCCATGTCCCCATCACTGGGAAATTTCTCCATGGGGATAACATTGACATTGGGGTCTTCATCCTCGCTGCCAGAAGACATGTTTATGTTTGTCTTCCCCTCCTGGGAAGCCCAGGAAGTGCAGATTGGATTGTACGGGAGCTAGCACTTGGCAATCGTAGGAAGAATCAGATAAAAGGAATGCAGCACAAGAATCTGTCTACAGACAGTAAGTAGAGGGTTTTCACGAGAACGCAAGTGAGGAAGAGTCGTTGATAGGATGAACTATGGAGAGCCATCCATGGATGGTTTTCTCTTCGTGGTGGGCTTATCGATAACGCACACCGCCGCTTTAATTCGAGTCTACGGGATCGTATACATACATTTATCTAGAAAGACATTTAAGAAGAACATCCAAAATGTCAGTGGAGTGTTCTTACATATAAAATCACTGATATCATCTTGGTCCACCTGGAGAGATAGATCAAATTATATTAGTCTTACGTCAATGTCAGAGGCCGCCTGAACGGCCGTTATCACACTAAACGAAGAAATATCCCTACTGCGCACATGGAGATGGATTTGTTAATCATCATTCTAACATTCAAGGTTGGAGATCTTCGAGATTTTCCATGTTGACTGTACACATTCAATTCACCGTCTTTTCAACTAGAGCCTCAGAGCCAGACTGCTCTTCTTCCTGATAAGGCGGCGGTGCAACTTCAGCACCATTGGCCCAAACTTTCTGAAGCTCCTGATCAATTTCCTCGCGGCGGTGCTTCCATTCATCCACCTGATCCAGACGCTTCCGCAGCTCCTGAAGTTCTTTCTCAACACCAAGCTTCTCCTTTTCGGTACCGATTCTCTCGAACTCCCAGACCTCGCCTTCGGCACCCAGGCCAAGAGTCAGGTTATAGGTATGGTACTTCTTCAAAGACGCCCGCGTCGAAATGGTGATGAGAGTAATACCTCGCTCCTTGGCATTGTCGTATAGCAAGCCCTCGACGTCCGAGGAAACAGCCGAAGTACCTTCGTCCATGAATGCATACCGCGGCTCATGGTAGAAGAGCCGCGCCATGCCCATGCGCTGCTTCTCACCACCGCTCAGAACGTCTTTCCACTCCTTGCGAGCGTCCCAACCGCCTTCGCGCTGCGGCAGATAACCAAGGTGGGCGTCATCGAGGATCTTCTGTAGAGCTGCGTCTGTCTCGCCAGCTTCGCGCATGTCGACCTCCGTGTGTGGGTAGATCACTTGGTCGCGCAGAGTGCCGACACTGAGATACGGTCGCTGGGGGAGGAACATGATTCCATCGAGGCCGAAGCCTCGAGGACGACTAACCAGCCCGCGGTATACCGGCCAGAGCCCGGCCACAATACGGGGGATTGCAGACTTGCCTACGCCGTTTGGACCTGAGATGAGGAGGTGGTCGCCTGAATGGACGATGAATGAGAGCGACTCGATGAGTTCGTCGCCGCCCATTGGGTGGAGGGATGGTGCGACGATCGGGACCTGCTCCAGACGGACCCCGTCGAAGCCGTTGTGGGTGGTGCCTTGGGAATCCGCAAGAGAGTATAGTTCGGGATGTGAGCCCCGTGGGGTGTAGTACGCATCGGCATGAACACGGTGCAGGGTGGCAATGAGGCTGTAGACTCGAGAGGTGTAGCCAGCGAGTTCTGAGATATCCTTAATGCTGTACATCATGCGGCCTCCAGCATCAGCGAGCGAAAGCATGAGGCGTTTGTTAGTGATGAACTCCTTCATGCGGCCACGCTCGCGACCCATACCCTCGGGTGCATCGGCCAATTCCATTGCACCGCCCGAGCCACCCCAGGCGGGGAGGAAGATGGGCAGGGAAGTTATCAAATAGCCGAATGCGGACCAGGAATACTTCAGGATCATGTCTTCAAGCATGTTGTAGCGGATCTTGAGACTGTAAATGCCCTCCATCCATCGCTGCAGCTCCTTGAAGCTTCTGACCAGGAACACCCGCTCGGTATCAGCTCCGCCGTAGAACGAGATCTCTTCGGCATTGGCTAGAAGTCGGGAGTGCAAGCCGCGGAAATCCCCTTCCTTCTTGCCCTCTACTGCCTTAAGCTTTCCAAATGGTGGGGACAGTTTCCGGAGCACCACGGCTGTGCTGAAGTACCCAGCCAAAATCCCGCTCAGGGCAAGGGGGCCGAGTGAGCGGTAAAGCTGATAGTTGAATACGAACAGATCCACCAACGGCTTTCCCATTGAGGAGTATAGTGATGCGGCAGCCGAGCAGAACAGGGTAAGATCCTGCGTGATGAATTGATCAGGCCCTTGACCGATTCCGCCGTCCAAGTTCATCAACTTATAGTAATTGTTATTGTCGGTTAGGTACAAGTCGTGGATATACCGGGTCAACCGAGTGCGGAAGGCGATGGACACCTTCGATTGGAGGAATTTTATCATCGCATTGGTATACGAAGCGAGGGTTCCAATTCCACACCACTTGAGGATACCCCAAAGGAAAGCCTTTCCTTTCCCAGCGACCAGATCCCTCACAATCTCACCATCAAGCCGTGCAATCAATAGTGAGAGATATGTTCTCATCAAGAGAAAAAGGCCATGGCTCATGAGCAATCCAGTCTCTTTGCTTCCCCATCTCGGGACCATGATACTACCCAAGCTCAAGAACTGATGCAGGAATGCCAAATTGAGACCTGGTTTGGTTGTAGGGGGTGGAATCTGGTTTGCCGAGCCATCATCTTTGCTGCGAGCCGACGTCGGGGGGTTGAGGAATAGTCGTCGATGAGCGTCAAAGGTAGTCGGTTTGGTGGGATGGATCAAGACCTTGGAGGTTAGGGAGTCCTTGTATGGTACGTAGATAGTGCGAGATCCATCTTTACCACGAATACCAGAGTTCCGGCGTAATAGACGGCGACCCTGGGCTCGCTCCTTGGCTCTCCCTCGGAACCACTTATAGCCTCCATAACCGGAGCTAATGATGGAGAAAAGAAGGGCTATCGTTGCAATCAAGCGGGTGGTCTTAGACGTGCGGTTGAATTTTGAGCGTACAAGGTCGGAGTAATGACGATATAATGCCAGGAGGGGATCCTCCGGACGCCGAAGGGTTGACTGGACGGCCATCTTCAAATGGCCTGAGACCTCTTGACTCACGAGGTAACTGAGGGGCGGTCCCTAGACTCGACCGAAGGCCATGGGGTTACTTTTGAGTGTATTCCAAACCATAGAGAATGCATCTCAAGGGAAGAAAGTGAAGTCGACGTATCTTGCATCATAAGGTTGCATGTGAACCTCGGGATATGCGGAGAAGCGCCTCACGTGGGGAAGCTGACTGTACTCTTTTCTGCAGCCCAGCCTTCTTCCCCTCTGGGCAGTGACCTTCCAATGAACTCCAAGGACTTTGCATGGCCAACTTGGATAATAATAGAAATGGGGGAAACCCCGACTTTTTTGACTCCGATCGTGGCGATATTTTGGATACTCTCCTCATGGGTCCCATGTCCACTCTCTACGGAATTCGTACTATTTTCTTTGATACCCTTTGTTATGGCCTATATGAAACATTCCAACCGAACTACGGAACCTCGAGAACTCGAACCAACACCAACAGTCCAGTATAACCCAGTTTGCAGCTTGTGGTTTGGACTGGATCTAATTTGAGTCGCATCAAATGAAATCCTTCATTTTGTAGGCCATAGCTCCTCCTACTGGCTATATGAGTGGCTATTAAAGCCTAAAAGTGGCCATAAAAAAGGGGCCATACATAACAATCACGGTTAATATCCACAGTTAGATCCCCCCACAGGCCCTGATCGCGATCATCTCAAAAGGACTCTGCTTTTGGGCCAGACCCTATGTCGTAAGGTCGTATGTTGTCTAGAGCAAAGGAACAAGAATGCCACATTGAACGTCAAAGTAGCATTGGCCAAGTACAGGGTACAACTCTGCACAGCGTGATAGCAAGTCGGGATTTACCGTAGCCGCTGAGGGCTTGTAGTAGCGTGTGAAAAAGGACGCCTGTGCCTTGCTAGCCTTGTTAGCCTTGGTTAGCGTCAAAAAATGGAAAAAGGAAATAAATCCCATTTCCTCTTCTCCCCCGTTTTCCCACACCGTAGGTTCACGTGACATCCCCCCGACTCCTCTCGACTCCTCCCCCCGAAAATCCTCCCTAAAACAAGTAGAGATATCACATCCCATTTCTGTTCGTTTAGCTTGTTGTTTTTGAAAGTGCAATAGTGTGGGTGTTGGATCACTCCCGGGGCCAAAGGCGGTACGTGCGGACTTCCCAAATCGCTTGCTTATTATCTAGGAGGCGTGTTAACGTCCCCTATTAGCCGCGCTCTCAACCTTGGAGAGTTCTGGCATTGACTCGGCCTTTTAGACCTGGGAACTGTTTCGCTTCACTTCCTTTTTCTATATTTACCTGCGTTGAGGCACCTGACACCGCACCAGCCCCGATGAGTGGAGAGAGCACCGCGCGAGATTCAGCTCTGGAATCCGCAAATCCTATGGATACCTCCGGCCTTCTGGGCTCAGGAAGTAAGTGAATGCGCTTGTTCCTTTTCACATGTTGTACCAAAGGTCGACATGATTGCTGACATCGTTCCTTCCGTAGTTCCTGAGCCCGAACAGGGTAAACTTACCGATGCGACCGAGATCCAGGACGCAACTCCTGTCGCGCCTTCCTACCCGCCTTCGTCCTCCGCCGCACCAGCTGAGAGTACATCAACAGCTGTTGAAGGCGCTGACGCACCGAAGAAACGCCATTTGTTGATCCCCATCCCGTCGCGGCGATCCTCGAGAACCAACAAACAACAGGGGTCGGAAAAGACTGAGGAAGCAGCGCAGGATGAGCCTTCTCGGAGGAGTTCCAAAGTGAGCATCCTGCGGTCGAAACGGGATCACAGCCGGGCAAGTAGCCGACGGTCGCGCCAGGCTCAGAACGGAGTGAATGCGGAGGAGAATAAAGAGGCGGCGACTATGTCCGACGATAGTCCCTCAAAGCCTCAACAGAAGAAAAGTTCATCCAAGTTCCTGGCTTTCTTGGGTTGTTGCTCTTCGTCGGATGTTGATGCAGATGACACTGCTCTGCCTGCAAAGAAAACAACCATGCGGGCACCTGCTTCCAACAGGTTGCCCACTCCAGACAAGACGGAGGCTCCTACTGACTCAAGCACTGTAGAATCGAGGGAGCCATATCTAGATGAAAAGGCAAACTCCACAGTCAGCGCTGATCAGCCTGGCGAAGAAGACCGCAATGTTCAGCCTGCTATGGCTAGCGTGCAAGGTGATGGTCCTTCTGCGGATGCCACACAGCCAGAAGTTTCTGGTCAGAAAGATCAGACCGATGATGTTACCCCGCACCATCAAACAGGAATTGCGATGGGATCAGTACCTGAAGTGAAAGCGGATGCAAACACTCAAGATAGGGAGGGTCAATCAACCTCGACCACCGAGGACCTCAATTCTGCATCAACGTCAACCATCCCTAAAGATTTTGGCACTGACGGCCAAGAAGAAGTCTCATCTCACCAAGAAATGAAGCCCCCTGTTGTGATCCCTCCGCCACCACCACCGCTGCCACCTGCACCCCCGGCTCCCCCAGCTCGAGGCCACTATGAGGACGCAGGGCAGCCTTTGCTCCCTGCACCTTTGCCTCACTTACGCGGCCGAAAGTGCTTGGTTCTCGATCTTGACGAAACACTGGTTCACAGCAGCTTTAAGGTAAGTCTCCCTCGCTTTCAATATGCGCCCAAGGCGTGTGTCATCGTATAATTGTATCGTCTCACTCATTATTGATTTGACAGGTTTTGGAGCGTGCCGACTTCACCATTCCAGTTGAGATTGAAGGTCAATACCACAATATCTATGTGATTAAACGTCCTGGCGTGGATGCATTCATGAAACGCGTTGGTGAGCTTTACGAAGTGGTGGTATTCACTGCCTCAGTTTCAAAGGTCAGTTTATAGTTGATGGTCTTGGCGAGTGATGCACACTGACTTGAGTTACAGTATGGCGATCCTTTGCTCGATCAACTGGATATTCACAACGTGATTCATCATCGCCTATTCCGAGAGAGTTGTTATAACCACCAGGGGAACTACGTCAAGGTGAGCGCTTTTGCCCCCTTCAGTGATTGAGAACGAGCTAACCATTATCCAGGATCTTTCGCAAGTCGGCCGTGACCTGAAGGAAACAATCATCATTGATAATTCCCCCACATCCTACATCTTCCACCCTGAGCACGCGATTCCCATCAGTAGCTGGTTCTCTGACGCTCATGACAATGAGTTGCTCGATCTCATCCCTGTTCTCGAGGATCTTGCGGGGGCCCAAGTCCAAGATGTCAGCATGGTCCTGGACTGCACCCTCTAGATGCCTCGACGGGATCCTTCTTACGCCTGAGATATCCATTTTGAGCGAATTGTTTTCTTTTCTACGCGAGAAAAGCCCTTTCCCTTTGCGTTCCTCCAGCATTGCTGCCATTGATGGGTAGTCGCCCTATTTCCTACTTCATCCGATTCCCCTTCTTGACGACAGAACATGGGCCCAGATGGAACTGGTATCCTACTGGGCCAATGCACCGTCTCTGCATTTGTTGTCGTTCTTGGATAGTACATTAACCTCACCATCTTCGACCTTCTGCATTGCAATTTGACTTTGTATCTCACTACGCTCCGAGCGAGCCCATTCCCCCTTTTTTCTTTTTATTTTTATTTTTCTTCCTTTGTGCTTTATCAACACCCCCTCATGTCCCTGATTTTCCCCTTTTGTGTATTCTCTCCCCATCCCAACACCCAACAAGTCCGCTTTTTATGCATTCTGCAGGCGTCTCTTGGTTATCATGTCCCCGCTGTATCCCCCCTATGTTTTTCTCTTCCCATTTCTGCCTTGCTACACGGCCTTACTGCCTTGATCTCAGCTCACCAATACACGAGCATGCATTTCATTGTGTTCTATCCTTTGCTGGGACCTCTGCCTGGCAGTTGGTATGCATCTCCTTCATAGTGCGCAGTGTCTAATAATTCCCTTTACGCTGCCAACATCGTTGGAGTGATTCTTTTCATGCAATGTACATGATCAGTCACGGCTCTCGATGCTGTACATAGCCCCCGAAACGTATCCAGAAAACAAAATGGAGCAAGTTGTATTAGAGTAGAAATGAATTTAACCCATTAATTATTATCCATCTATAACTAATCTACAATACAAGTTAACAGATAGATAAGTTGAAGTGCATCGGGGCCATTCCGCATTGAGGCCGCATTAAGACGATGATGTAGTCACCAATCCCAACCTTCCCGAGACCAAGGTTTTAGTTCCTGACGCTCAGTGCAACCTCTTTGTTTCCTCGTTATTACCTCTTTGTTCTTTCGACCCCATCTCCTTGGATTTCCCTTGTTTCTAAAATCACCTATTGGCGATCGCCTCCCGATAAAACCGCCGAAAGCTCCCCGCGATCGCGATCCCTACCGCCCACCTCCAAACATCCCACAACCCTCACGCTGGCTGAAATCATGAAGAACAAGGAGGGCTGGGACGGAAAAATGAGGATGGAGCCAAAGGCGGTTATTACAAACCCGGAGGCGCTGGAGGATTCAGATTACTCGGATCCGGATGCACCCCCGGTCGAAGAGATTGAGGCTGATGAAGGTACGGCCGCTGGATTTGATTGCTCAGGGCTGAGTCATTGGCGAGTCGATCGACTAACGGTTGTTCAGACCTACTGGCAGACGAAGATGTTAATGCAGAGGTAGGCAGATAGCCTGGATTCTCCGCTGATCGACACGCGCGACGCGATTGCTAATCGTTCTGCTGTAGGATATTGACCTCGTGCATTGTCGGATATCGTCGATTCCTGCTCTTAAATTGGAACGCTTCCCTAAGCTTCAGGTACATACCCTCAACGACACTGGAATCCGCATGTGCCTGGTAGCTGAGAGGGGCATATGGTACCACTTTTTCCTCAAGCACAAAAGCACAACGGCACGGCATTCCTTTGATTAACCCAGATGGCTAACGTGCTGGCATATATAGAGACTATGCCTGCGCCAGAATCAAATATCACGCATCAACTTCCCTCCAAATGTCGCCGCTAGTCTGACCGAACTCGACCTCTACGATAACCTCATCTCTCACATCAAGGGCCTGGAGGAGTTTCATAACCTGACAAGCTTGGATCTGAGCTTTAACAAGATCAAGCATATTAAGAATGTTTCGCATCTGAAGAAGTTGACCGAGATTTTCTTTGTGCAAAACAAAATCTCCCGTATCGAGGGCTTGGAGGGATTGACCGCAATCAAGAACTTGGAGTTGGGCGCGAATAAGATTCGAGTTCGTACTATATGATACCCGCATACGAGGCAAACAATGGAAAAGCTGACACGCTTTCCTTTCAGGAAATCGAAAACTTGGAAACACTGACGGCGCTGGAAGAGCTCTGGCTTGGGAAAAACAAGATCGTCGAAATGAAGGTCCGCAATTGTCATCCAACATATCTTAACAAGTAAAGACGCTGACACACTTGCAGAACCTCGATACACTCTCAAACCTCCGCATCATCTCCATCCAGTCCAACCGCCTCACCAAAATCACTGGTCTCTCCGCGCTCCCAAAGCTTGAAGAGCTCTACCTCTCCCACAATGCAGTAACAGACCTTTCAGGACTGGAATCCAACGAGACACTGCGCGTGCTCGACTTTTCCAACAATCAGGTCTCTCATCTTGAACATCTTTCTTCACTAAAGAACCTCGAGGAGCTGTGGGGGTCGAATAATCAGCTTGCTAGCTTTGAGGAAGTTGAGCGCGAGCTCAAGGATAAGGAGAAGCTGCAGACTGTCTACTTCGAGGGTAACCCGTTGCAATTGAATGGGCCAGCTGTTTATCGGAATAAGGTGCGCTTGGCGTTACCGAATATCCAGCAGATTGATGCTAGTAAGTGTTTCCTTCCTATCTGTGTCTGGCAGTATGCGTACACATTGTTTCGGAAATGGCGCTAATGTGATACTCCACTCTACAGCATTTGTCAGAGTTTGAGGGAATGAGGGTGATACCTTGATGTCTTTTTATACTCTGTCTATTTGACTAATGGCTCTGACGTCTTCCGTTCTATAATCAAATGCGAGCAGGTTGATCTCTGCACATAGAATATGAGGACCTATGAAATTGACGTTTCAGAACATAGGGGAAACCATTGATCTAAGACCTCACTCAGGTAGACAATATTGCACAATATTAAAGCCCGCGTAGGGTAAGGGGGACACATAATTTACAAATAAGCGAATTCAACTTCTAGACTGCCCCCGGTATGTTAGGAGCAACCTTCCAAGCTCCAAAAGCTGATCATCCGACTGAAATAACCCCTACAGTTTGAAGGGAGTGATATATCTACAAGGATTCACCTACTAGACTACTTTGGGTAAGCCTCTGCATCTGCCAGGGCTGTTCTCACTTCCAAGAAGTGCCTAGACACACATGCACGGATAGTACATTACGTGTACATATCGTAATGATATTAACCCTCCTATGAAAGCTTGGAAGTTTTCCTCTACGTTTGTCTGATCTCGGACCCTGATATTCTATGATCTTTCCGACGTTGAGGACACCTAAACCACAACATCCCTGCAAAGCCGATCGTCATAAGAATGAGAACTCTGTGGATGTGCTCTCTGGCGTACTTTGTGTCTTTTGTCAATGTTGGGTACGGGCACGGCTGTATCGGTCATTGGTGTGAGACATGTCTTCCTACGAAGGTTCACGATGCACCTGGGGTTGGCTTTGATCTGACCCCCTCGTACGGGAGTATTTCAGCAGTCCTTTTTATATTACCCAAAAATCCATCTAATGCTGGACATTTAGGACAGCCGCAGTGCATTACTATAAGGAACTGTCGTCGAGATTGCCAAAGTTCTAGGGAGTCCGGAGTACCTCGAACTCATAGCACGTCTGGCTACTACATCTAAGCCTTCTTCAGATTCAACCCCTCGTTTCATAACTAAATTTCGACTACGGAACACCGGCCATTTTATAGGGTACGGTGCTCGGTCCGACATCGTTGTCTTTCCCAAGAAGATCAATTCGTATCCTATTGAAACAGTGATTCTGATTTCCGGTCGCATCCCGTAACATAGACATCTTCGCCACGAAGGTCGGGGCCATGTCCATAGAAGCCGAAGTGGTTACTGAGGGTCAATTAATCATTGACAATTCCACTGTCACTTCCTCGATAGTTATCCTGCATACGGCACTTGAATACGCCGCTCAAAGTTCATTTAGTTCTCGACAAGATGTGGCGGACTACGGACTAGGCCGATGGCTCGCTTAATTAGAGGCCAAGATGAACTGGCCGCTCGTCGATGATCGACATATCGTGTACCTCGGACGGTCATTAGATACTTAGCCAGATTGAATTTATGCGGTGAGCGGAAGCCTCCGAGGACATGATGGGGCTGTCTATTCTTCGGCGGCTAGAGCGACGTTGAGGTTCCAGGAACGACTGCCCAAGTTTCCCCAGTAAAAAGTAGTCCCCCATCCAGCCTTAGCTGTTCCGGGTCGAAATACACACTCATTCCAAGATTATCCCCACGGATATCAAACACACGGAAAACCAAATACACCTCCGAGTAATCATTCCTGTTGTGGATATCCCTCATCTAGATCTGGTCAACATTTATGTGCCGTTGGTAATGATCAGTGCACTCACTCTCTTATACTGATGCCTGCTCATGAAGAAGGGGTGATCCAAAGGCCCTGTCGTTGCCTTGACTTCAATGAAATATTTCGGACGCTTGTCCGCCCATTCCTCGGCGTCAAGGTACCCACGATCAATAAGCAAGGCTGTAAATTCACCTGCTCTATCTTCATAAGTAATGTCGGCCGTTTCCCTCCCGTACCAAGGCTCCATGTCGGCGTAGTCCGGATGAACCGAGACATATCGGCGAATTGTGCTCTGCCAGTTTCGCTCACTCCAGTCCGTTAAAGGTGGGTTCAGTCTAGTGAGAAGCTCGAATACCTGGACGAACATTAGCCAGATTTTGGACGTGAAGTGCACTAAGAAGCTAGAAAAAGGCAGCATACATATAGCTCTCCCGCAGCCCCGATCTTACGGTCTCTTTCAATCTGGCTATCAGAGCGGAATGCATCCCTTACTCCAATACCATCGAAGCCGTCGAATTGGTGGCGGCCTTCCTGTGCTGGTAGAGCTTCATTTAGCTCGCTCATATTGAACGCCCCACTTGAGGGAAACATGGCTCTTCGTGCGGCCACTAGCACGTTATCGAGAAGTCTCCGATACGGAATGCTGTCTTCGGACGAATAAACATTGGGTGAGTACATGAGTGTTGGGCGACTGTGACTAGGGGTCGGAGAATGGGGTGTCATTGCGTTTTGGCGAATGTTTACTTGCTCTGGAGTATTCCTCTGGGATATGGAATGCCGACTAGAAAATGGTGTGCCAACGTCCCTTGAGTGTGTGAGATCTTCACTGGTTGTTGTACGAGGACTCTGTGAGCTTTCGAGAGGTATTTCGGGGTCGACATCGGAATCTTCGTTCGGTATATCAACTTCGATGATACCCTGACGTTCCAGAATCAGATCGGTAGCGGATGGATGGATGTTCAGGATCATGGACATCACATTGATTGCACGAATTTCGACCTTATTGAGTATTTGTGTTGTGGGGTCCCGCATGAGCCAGTCGACAAGCTGCCTGGGCAGAAGATCGCAAAAGCAAAGCTCCTGCGCTTTCCTGTCTCTGGGGACGTAGACAGACAGGCGAGACCCTTCTTCGCTGATGTGTAATTTCCCAATCAACTCTTCCACATCGGCCACTTTGCCGTCTTGAGAGATCCGCAGGATCGAGACAATACCATCTGTCGCTTCGACACTAGCAGTCTGGAGTAACTTGTAAAGCACTAGGGGGTCGGCTTGATATCTAGGGCTGTTGAATGCGCCCGCAATGCTAAGCGAGAATACCGACAAATAAGTAATATTCGCCATGTCGCTAGAAAAATGTACTTACCGGAGGATAGAATGTGCTTTTCGTTTCAAGTCTCGATTGGGCCATACATGGAGCCGTGTTGTCTCGCCCGAGAGCGATGTCAGTTCCTTAACGGCAACAGAAAAGTAGCGGTGCGAGAGACCGGCCCACTCGAAAAAGGTCTTCAGCTGGCGGACTTCTTCTTGGCTGAAGTCAAGAATCTTGATTTTCCCTCGAAATCGTGATGCCAAGTACTCTCGATCCGTAATGGCGAACTGGATATCCTCTGATCTCAGAGCCTTTGTGCCATCGGGGTAGACAACGGGGAAAATAGGGGATTTCAACAATGGTGTCGGATCAAGATTAAAATAATCCTCCCCTGCTTCGAGAAGTGCATTGAGAGACCAGATTTTGGATTTTGTATCGTGGATTGTTGCGTTTGCACTTGTCTCCAACAGGTCGTCATAGACCATCTGAAGGGTTAGCGTTTTGACCCCCAAAGTGCCAATGAAGAAATCTTTGAGGTCCTCATAATGGTCATTGAGCGTGACCTTTCCACGTATCTCTGTAGTGCTTGACCACAAGCATTCAGTTGCTCGGTACCAACCAGACTGGCCTTCCCTAGTCACAAAAATCAAGGGCTCGGATTCAAATGCGTGCCTGGCGCCAGCTGATTAGGCTTCATATTTGCAGTATAAGAGTAGGCCACTTACCGTATATCATCAACAAAGTCAAGATCCTTCATGTCATCGAGATACTTGTAAAGATCAAAAATAGGAGTGAATTCCTGCAAATCATGATCCCTTCGAGCTGCCAGTTCATATGTCACATCAGGCCAAGAAGCTGCCGCGATGTCTAAAACTTGCTTGAAAAAGGTTGAAAGCTGAAACAGCTGATCTCTAGGAATAAATTGTTCATAGAGATGCTGAAGTGGATATTTGGTAATCATGTCTGGCGGCCCTTCCCATAGACAATGCTCGGGACTAGACCAGACGGCGATATCGTCCTCGTCATCGTCCTCATCATCGTCATCGTCCTCGTCATCGTCATCATCCTCGTCCTCCTCATCGTCCTCGTCCTCGTCCTCGTCCTCATCAAGCTTGTAAACATAAATGTATCTTCCGTTCTCAAAAAAGGTCCTAGATTGAGGTTTAATATCAATATCGTATCGGGTTGTCGCAAGCACTCACTTTATGCAGTTCCCCATAACCAGCTGGCTTTCAGCACCAAGATATTTGGCATTGATGGCACCGTAAAGCCTGCAGATGCGCCCATAGTCTTCAACGGAAGAGGCGGAAGGGTCCGTCTCTTTGAGCCATCTCAGGATGTCGAGTAAAAAATCAACATCTTCATCTTTTCTGACACCAAGTTCTGTGTGAAGGAAAATCCATTTTGAACTTAGCTGCTTCACAGACAACGTTCTCCCGAGATCCAAGAATGGAAGACTCTCATTTGATTTCAAAAACCGCGAACATTGCTCAAGAAGGTTGGGTAATGGGAGGTATGTCTGATCGAGCTGGCATTGTCCTTGAAGTTCGGTAAGACAGAGCCGCTGTGCGTCCGTTTCTCGAATAAGCTGTTTCAATGCATCGTCTTTGCTTATAGTTTCTCCTTCAGAGCTCCAAAGGTGTCGTAGGAGTCCAAGGAGCTTCTCTGGTTGGAATCTAGCCACATACTCCCAGGCAAGGGAGAGACTTCTTCCGTCTCTGGCGATGAGTCTCAGTTTGTTCCTTAGTCCGAGATTGTCTTGTAGCCATTTACCCCAAGAGAGATGACCTGCGTGTGGCGCTGCTGGGATTTCCTCGAAGTATGTCGGGTGAATAAAAGATACGCTGAAGCCTGGCAAGTTATCCGTCGCCCTAAGGAGGGCTTCTGGCCCGTAGGGATGGTTTGATGGAAGATAGCAGTCTCCTTGGTATGGCCATACTGGAGCGCCAGAATGCGAGTAGATGCACATGTCTCTCAGCTCATCTTTGCTCTGCTTGAACTGGTGGGTCAGGTACAAGAAGCGCAAGTACGCCCTCGATTCGTCTAGGCTCGGATGCGCAGCAGCGGAGCAACTCTTCCTTAGGATTGAGTATCGCACTTGTGGGGCCGATGGACTAATGACTCCCAATTGAACAAAAAGGGATCTGCGACACTCATTCGCTGCTGCAGTTGCATCCAAAACCCGAAGATCTAGCCCTGGAGGGATGGAAATGCCGTTTATGGTCGGGAAAAAAACAGAGCCGGAGTTTGCCGCAACCCAAGGGCCGCTTCGTAGAGGAAGGAGAGCCAATGATTCTAGACGACTTTTTTTTGTTTCCGCAATTCGAGATAGGAGCTTTGCGATGCGGCTGTGGTTATCCTCACTCGTGAACGTCGATTGAATCCGGGAAGCAGAACTTTCAAGATCTTTGTGCAATATGCGGAAAAGCAGATTATAGTCCATGGCTTGCAGACCATAAGGACGAAGGGCGTCCTTAGATACATACTTGTAATGACTGGAGAGGAAAGGGTCGATACTTGAGTCGTCCAGCAGGGGATTTCCGTCGCTATCCATAAAATCTGAGGCTAGAATCCGCACATCTTTTATCTTCCGAAGATAGCTATGTCGAGTCTTTAGAACAGACTGTTTCTCTAAACTGCTCGCAATCTTCGAGTGAAGATCGGCCCAAAAAGTACCAGATGCGTCGTCGGCAGACGGAAGATACATTGGCCACGTAAAGCCTAGGTCAGAGTCATGCAAGAGCCCCCTGATCGCCTGCACAAATGCCAAGGCAATGTGTTTCTTCAGCTCGATGTTTCGTCTTGATGTTGAGGAGATATCCTGACGGCTTGCAGTCGTGTCAAAGTCGGATTGTATCAAAAACTACTTATGAATTAGCAAGAGCATAAAATTGCCCAGTGATCAAATTCGCCACTCGCCTTGAGGTTGGTTTTTCTGACAGGTAAAAAAGCAAAAACTGATTGCTGTTCGAGAAGCGGCTGTCTATCATGCGTTAGGGGGAAAGCCAGCACGATTTCAGCTTCTGAAGAAATTCTCCTAGCTTCAACAGTGTCTGGGAGTTCACGACTGTCGCTTTTAGGAAGACCAGTTGCCATGTAACGAGTGACACAATAGCCTTTTCTCTCGACAGAAATATTTTCGTTCTCATCAATTGACTCGGTCTTGAGAAAAACATCACTCGGGAAGTTGTTCTCCAAGTAGAACTTTTTGGAGCTTTGCAGTTTATCATCTCCATCATAGAATGACACCTGTATTGCCTTCAAATTCCTCAGAAAGAGAAGGCAGGTCTGCTCCAAGTCATCGAGTTGCTTGAATATCGTTCTGTGGAGATGTTCGATATCTTCTGCCTCCCCGTTCTGGTGAAGGTGAAGGGTTATGCGAGTCAAAGGATCTGGCAACACCTCATCGGAATCTTGCCACACGGGTAACACCATTCCAAGACCAGGATCACCCTTCTCGTGCTTGAAATAAAAAGAGTAGTTACCAGATTGAATATCCACTTTCCAAGCTGCGATGAAAACCGATTTGAATCCGATTCCCTTTGCTCCAATGTAGCCGTGCGATGCCGCTTTGGTGCTCTCCCCAACCGAGCAGATAGCTGACAAATTCTCCTTGGTAAATCCATCCTCGTTGCACTCGAGGACAATTCTGTCAGGATACACCTTGAAAGCAAGAAAAGGGAGTCTATTTCTCGCAGTGGCTCTCGTAAACCGATTATCATCCGCGTTCTGAAGGAGCTCGAAGACGAAACGAGCGTTGCTGCTGTAGATATTTTTGGCGAGTCTGGAAATCTTGAATTAGTGGAATTTTTCTTGAAGGCTGCTGATCTGTTCAACAAGGCATACGTTTGGATGGAATGCCCAATTTTCTTGTCCTTAGCTAACATGCTCTCTTCGATCTCGCGCCGAAGCTTTGGATTGAAGCGTCCAATTTCGTCAAGGGAGCTAGGCTGGATGAACCCGTATTCCTTCGCAATCCCCATAACCGCATTCTTCGCTGCATGTCTGCTGGTCATGATTTCTTCCTTATGATCTTTCTGTTCTATTGATTGATGCGCGAGGGTGAGTGTCTGGAAGAAAGGCGAGCCCCTCGATATGAGAAACACAGGAGTCTTCGATGATCGGCCCCCAAGGCTAAAGCGCTTAGAGAATGTGCCATGCACATGCAGATTTGTTGGTTTGCGCCCAAAGGCAAATTACCCTGGTTTCAGGCTACATGATGTAGGCACAGCTGTGCGTGCGGGGGTGCCCTCGAGTTACAAGACAAGAAGGCGACGCGTGGAGGATTGTTTGATAACCTTGGAAGACCCTCATGTTGATAGCTGTTACTTGGACGATTAACTTCATTTGAGCGCCGAGGGTGGTAAGGTTTTATCTTTGAAATCTGCTTTCAAGAGAGAAAGGATTTGGCTCAATTCTTAGAAGTCTTGAGGGCTTCCGACAAACACCCCTGGTCTACTCGCGCGTTGGGGATATTATTGGCTGGTGCCTTATCATCCGATCACAAATAGCGGTCACCTTACAGCGAAGGACATGGATGTCTGGACAGCCCCGCCTTATGTGCTAATGAATTTGACCTTATCCGGGAACGAGCAATACTGTAGTTAAACAGTTATGTAGCTAACTAGTTAACTAGCGTGCCTGAGACACCAGCAGGTACAGACTCCATTTCACCTCGTCTGGTTCGACCGATGCGCGTACTACAACATATTTCCGCCGGCATCCACAAATGCGCTCGGAGCCTCGGACGAGGCGACGGCACATGGCCATTTTGGACGACGTGAAGGATCAATTGCAGCAGGTATTCACGCACTTGAAACCGAATAGCCTAAAGCATTTTCGAGTCCGCATCAGCAGGTTTCCATTTCCAGATTTGCAGCTGACAGTAATAGATGGCGCCTGGGGACATGTGTCCCGATGGAGTTCTCGACCAGGGCGGCTATCTCAGCAGGTATCAACGGCGCCTCACCCGTCTCTCACTCATCACCGATGGTACCTGCCCTCATGAAGCACCACCTAGAAATCTGTCCGGACTTGCGTGCCTGAAGGCCTTTTAGTTGAATTGCTTCTCGTTCTCTTCAGGTCGTTTCAGATATCCCGGTGAAAGCTGAGGTCCGGCAACTATGTGTGCTAGTGAAATCTTGAGTTAATCGTCCAACAAATAGATTTTTGATTCTCTGAAGGCTCGTCCGATGCTGATGCGAGGATGTTGTGTCTCCGCCAAACCAACCCGGCATCCTGTTACAAATATGGTTGCCTCCGTAGGACCGTACATATTCCACAGTTTTTCTGGTGGGCGGTTGATGAGGACTTTCTTCATTGCATTGACATTCACGGCCTCAGTTCTCACAAGGACGTGGCGCAGACCATGAAACGCGATGGGCGCATCCAAGGCAATGCCATTGAAAAGGGCTGTTGCCATAATCACCACTGTAAACTTTGTTCTCCAGATAGCCACTGAGAGCAAAGGGATCCGTGACAATTGTTTTGGGGTTTTGGATGACGGTCGCCCCAGCGAGTAGCGATGCCCAAATTTCAGATAGGGAGAAGTCGAACCCCGAGCTGGTAACTCCAGCCATGCGGTCAGATGAATCCAGCAGTGTAGCCGGCTCAGAGGCTAAGACATGGAGAATACCGCGAGCCAGGACCTAGATGGGTTTTGGCAGTCCCGTCGAGCCAGAGGTGACGAAAAATGTGAGTGCCATGGGTTTCCGGACATCGTGCCCGCACGCGAATTGGGATGGTCTCACTCAAAGTGATTTTCCGCGCAGTGGATTCTTCGACTTGGATAACTTCAAACTCTGGCACTCGGTCAATCAGGGCTTCGCTGGTAATGACGAAGCGGGAATTGATATCGTGTAGCATGGCCACTAGGCGGGAAGAAGGCATGGAGGGATCAATGGGAACACAGGTCCCTCCAGCTCGGAGGACAGCAACTTGCGATACGATGTATTGATAACCAAAATCAAGTAGGATGCAAACGGGCTCCGCGAGCTAGATTGACCTTCCATGCAATCTTTCGACAAGTATATCTGCTCTTGCAATGAGCTCTCGATCACTAATGCTGGCATCGCCATCGACCACACTGCAATTGCATTGGGAGAAGCATTTGCCCGCTGAACAAAGAGATTTTTCATTGCGCTTAATACTAGTCGAAGTAGCTGATAATGATTCTGTTGAGATAGAAAGAGTGACTAAGTCCGACAGTCTACTAATGAAAAGACCGCTGTTTGACAGTCTTGTTCCAACGGAAAGCACACCAGAGCAGCAGCCATTTTATAAGATATGGTGCTCAGTCCAATATTCTCGTCTCTTTCAAGATGATCAATTCTTATACTATTGAAACAGTGGTCTATGTCAACCTTTAGGGTACGTTACACGGACTGACAGACGGCTGAAGCCGGATCCGGATCAACCTATTCAGGTCTTTTGTAGTACTCGACTTTACGTCATTCTTTCCCTTTCTCGGCTTGACATGCTATATTCGTTAACTTGCGCTGGATCTATATCGGTATATTATTGTGCAAATCTACCTATTATGGATTGGATATCTCCGCTGCCTGTGCACCTGAGACACCTGTCATCCCCGACCAAACTCCTCAGGCCTTTTATAGTAATGAATTTTCCATCATGCATTGCCCAGCTTGGCCACGCTATATGCAATATGTTTCACATTAGGTACATTGTCCTGCGAACCTCTGCGAACACTCAGTGGACACTATCCGACGCCACCTATGCTATAGATATCAGCACAATGGTATATCTCACATGAGCCCTACTATATGTCGTCGTACGACTGAGAAGACAACCGTGGATACTGAATAGGCACTACTTAATTCATTAACAAGAATATGTAGAAGACCTAACAAATGGAAGCAAACTCTGATCGATGTACTGTAAGTCACGCTAGACTTAATACAGTATTACTATTTGCAGACCAGTTTACACTGGTTCACCTTGTTTGTGGTGGCTGTAAATGAACTTAATATATGGATTTGCAGAATAATATACCCAATGCAAGTCTTATTGCATATGGACGTGTATGACTAGCCCCCATTTGGGAGACAAATATTGGAGTCAGCGTCAGTGTCGCTGGTGGGACAATAGCACTTAGACAGGAATATTTAACTAGAGCAGTAGAACCCTGGAACAATATTCTATTTATACGAAGGCATACAAATATTTACGCATAGACAAGTCCCATATTGTTAGACTGTCTCTTCAAAGCACGATGGCCTTTAACATATCCCGTGAACAGATAGAGATGCTGAGGTCTCAAGTTAAAGAGCCGGCATCTATTCTTTATCCGGACTCTGAAGGGTACGGAAAAAGCCTGGAAAGATGGTCAGAAGTTGGATGTCAACGAGCGGTACTGCCTATTCCACCAGAGAGGATATTGTACTTTGACTGATGCGCTAATAGGGAGTCGTTATGCGCCCGACAAACACCGAAGATCTTGCAATCACCGTGCGCTTTGCCAGGGACAATCGAGTGGACCTGGCAGTCAAGGGAGGAGGACATTCCACTGACACCTCCTCCTCGAGTGATGGAGGTATTTTGATCGACCTTGGCGGTATGAGACAGGTCACTGTCAACTCAGTCGACTCATCTATCACCACACAGGGTGGTGCACTCTGGAAAGATGTGAACGATACTGCTGCTCGGTTTAATATGGCCGTAGTTTGCGGCACGGCCAGTGAAACGGGGGTCGGGGGGCTCACTGTGCGCGGGGGATATGGGTATTTGACACCGGAGTATGGACTGGTCCTTGACAATCTTCTTTCTGCAAAAGTGGTGACTGCCGATGGGCAAGTCTTGAATGCATCCACGGAAGAGCATCCGGACTTGTTCTGGGCGATTCGGGGAGCTGGAGCAAATGTCGGGGTGGCAGCGGAATTGACGTTCCAGGCACACACGCAGGCCAACATGGTCTGGTGCGGCACTATGACGTTTACGCGTGACAAACTAACTGAAGTTATCGAGGCACTCAATGGTGCACTGGTTCATCCACGGAGAAAGGCGGCAGCGCAATGTGTCTTCGCTTTATCTCCTGATACGGGGGCCCCGGTTATCACCACGGTCCTTTTCTTCAATGGCCCCGAGGAGGAAGGGCGAGTGCATTTCTCCAACCTTGTTAATTTGGAATGTATCAACATGAACATGGAAATGAGACCCTACGCAGAGGCCAACACCATGCTCGACGATGCAATGCCGCCAGGCGGAAGAAAAAAGACCATTGGAGCTAAGTTCGCTTCGCCTATTCGGCCTGAATTTGCCTCGGAATTGCTGGAAGAACTTGGCCGCAAGCTCACCGCAGCACCAGAATTGGCCAAAACTTGTCTTGAGATCGATTATTTTGATCTTTCCAAGGTCTATGGTGTGCCCGTTACCGAGACTGCGTTCCCAAGTCGAACCAAGGCTCTTAATGGAGCTCTTCTCCTCCAGTGGGTCAATTCGAGCAAGGACCAGGATTTCATAGCATGGGGGGAAGCCATCCAGAATATGTGTGAGAGTGAGCTACGACGAGCTGGTCACGAGCCGGATAAGCTGGTGTCGACATTCTTCGGCTACATGCACGGTGAGCATTAGAGGGAGAAGATAGGGCTTGAGGAATATGTACTGACTTTACCATTAGATGATAACATGACACCTGAAGATATGTTCGGAGTTAATGCTGATGCATTGCTCAGGGTGAAAAGGAAATACGACCCAGACGATGTCTTTAACAAATTGAACCCTCTTGGCTCGTCTGGTTAGTATAGCGGGGCGTTCTGCAGGATACGGCAGTCATGAGCCTATGTGTATCAGATACTAGCTCAAACCGTTCCCCTTTTTTTAGTTCACATCTCTTGCCGCTTTTGGTACAGTGACGGGCCTCGACTCCCGGCGCGAAGTCGATCACACAAGTGTGTCACCGGGGATAGGAAGGCTGGGCTGAGATAGGAAACAGCTTAGTTACAGGTTCAGACTTCACTTTTCATAGAGACAGGGCGGCCGTGAGCTGAGGGAAGAGAGGGAAGAGAGGGAAGGGCTGATATAGAAGAGGAGCAAAATAAAAAATAATCCGTACCCCAACTACTCCTGGCGAGGATCGACACCCTGACCAGTTTCACCATTGACTGAGCTTCCCAGTGCGGTATCACCCGGGGTTATTGTTTCACCCAAATCAGATGACCTCGTGTCTCTCACCCACTCGGCCACCCAGGGAGGATTTTGGCAGACTACCTTGGACTAGAGTCAAATAGACCATCTAGAAATCATTGAAACAAGCTATCCATTGCCTAGCATCCACCAGTTATCACCATTTACCACCCGGGCCCGTGTGGATAAGCCCGTATATGAACAAGTGCCAAGCTCTTGTGAAGGCTGGAGAAAATTCCGCGAGCTTCGACGGCATCTTGGCTTCCATTAATCATTAGAAACATTAGTATTGTGGTTGAATAGATATTCTTGTAAGAAACAAACGGTCTAGTTAAGTGAGCAGATTAGGCTACCTTTACAGATGCCCTCTGTTTGACAGGCTGAAGCTCAATATTGACCTCCTCCGTCACCAAAATCTGCTGCGAGCTCGTGTCCCAGTCTGCATCATGCAATTCAGAAACCTTGTTTGTACGATGGGCGTTGGAAAAGACATCCACCGATCTTACCTCCCCAATATTATTATAATCCTCATTTGCTTTGGACCATGGCGTATTGCTTGACGGCAGATGGCTGGCCTTCCCGCTGGACATGCCAAAGATTCTTGCAAAAGCGCCACCGAAGGCTGTCTTTAAGAGTACTCGCATCGTTGGCAGACACGTGCACACAATGCCTGTTGAGACTTCGATAATGGACCACATGTATCCCTTCGCGTAGAGCCACGTGGAGTCGTACTCGCCCAGGACAAGCATTGAGAGGAGAAGGCGGGCCATAGCTGCAGCGCAATCACTGAGAGAGAATAATGTGTTAGCAAAGCCTATCTGTACCTCTGAGTATAGCAAAAGGAATATTCATACAATAGACCCAATGCAAAAATCAAGGAAAGAGCAACCTTCTGCGGTTTCGGAAGCTGGATATTCCATACTCTCGGAATTGGCATCAACCAAACCGTAAAATCACTGATAATGTTGACAATTGCATAGCCGATAGCAAATTGCTTAAAGTTCAAGCAAGTCCCCTCCGTCGTCCAGAAGGCGCTAATCGGCTTGCAGTTGAAAATGGCGAGGAAAGTCATGACAATTGCCCACACAGAGATGAGAACGATCATGCCGTCGACAATTCGCAGGAAACTCGAATGTTCGAAAATGCGTCGGTACAGAAAAAGCAGTGCTAGCTTCACAGTCGGGGGCGCGAGCACGTAGAAGATCTGGAAGAAGTAGAGGAGTTCCACGAATGTAGCGACTTTCTCTGGTGAGAGGGTTTCTCGATGCTTGCCGAGGCCATTGATTCGACCTGAAAGCCCGTCAGTGTTAGTATTGTGATTCTTTAGCAGGATCAGAGTCATAATTGTCGTACTCACATCCCACAAATATCCCGTATAATAGCCAGTCCCAGAAAAGGGCCACGCAGATAATCCAGTCATCTGCACCGAGAGACAACTTTCGCAGTCGCCGAGCCCCGAAGCGGGCAACGACAGCGAGCGTCGCCAGTACGATGAAGATTGTGTTCACAACCCATAGCGTTGGCCCGAAGTCCTCCTGAAGGTCGGTCATATGCGACAATTGTCAACTACTCCACAGTCAACAAAAGTCTTGATTATATGAAAAGAGTTTTGCCCTCTATATAAATGAACCTTCATGTTAAATGTCAGCAGTCATCCTCAAATTCAATTTTCCCAAGGTTCCCCCTAAAACCGCCCAATTGGGGCCACTAAGAAAAATCCCTCTCTTGCACTTGCAAGGATGCCGCAGGACGCTACCCACATGTGGAAATATCCTGTGGCACGACTTGGGACGTGACGATCGCAGATCCTGCCGTGGACGGCCCGCTCCTCGGCCTCCCGACGGGTCTCACCGGGGCTACCGAGTAGTTTCAATCAATCTCACCAAATCGCACGGATTTTCTGTTTGGAGAACCAGGTCGACGATTGTTGCGACCTGAAAACAGGACAGATAGCAAAAGAAAGAGAGAAACAATGATAGGTGTTCAGCCTGCATATACGCGAAAGGAAGCACGTCGACAATTAAAAGTGGGTTGGAGCAGGATCGCACTACTGCAGCCATCGAACTCAATGGAGATGCAACATTGGGGCCAGGAAATGGAGCCTTCTCCCTTCCGTATGGTGGCACACCTCTGTCCCGTGTAACGGAAGATGGAACGATGTCCGACTTTATTAGACACAGCATTCTACAGAACTCATTCAACCAACCCCGTACGGAATACCTGAAACCAACCTCTGGAAAAGATGACTGTGCCTCAACCGAAGCTTCCCTGGCAAGAGTCCGCCCGCCAGGTCCAGGCAGTGCGCGATCGGTCTATAGAGGACGTCGACCCCGCCATCGCTGCTCTTCCCGATACACATACTGGCAGGGTAATCGAGTTCCCCAGAAAGCACCTCTCGCAGACAGAGATTGCCATTACAGAGAGCTCCGCAGAGACCTTGGTGGCTTCCCTTGCAACGGGTACACTGACTGCGACCGCGGTAATTAACGCTTTTCTTCGGCGAGCTGCGATCGCTCAGAAGCTAGTGAGTAACGCTGTTGTGTCCGGCAAATGCCTTGAATTTTGAATTCTAACCATCATTCGTCTGCTTAGACCAACTGTATCTACGAGCTTCTTCCTGAACGTGCCATCGCCCGCGCCAACGAACTCGATGATTATGTTGCAAAGCATGGAAAGCCCTCTGGTCCGCTTCACGGCTTACCAATTAGCATCAAAGGACATGTAGGCCTCAAGGGACGAGACTTGTCCGCTGGATTCGTCGGTTGGCTGGATCGGAAGAGCGAAGACGATGCAAATATCGTCAAGATTCTCTTGGATGCCGGTGCAGTTGTGTACGCGAGAACAACCGAGCCACAGGGACTGGTTAGCAGATCTAAATTTCCTATTGTGTTGATTTATGGCTGATACCTTGGTTTCGGAGTAGATGGCTCTTGAAACTTGCAGCAATATCACCGGCACCACCACCAACCCACATAATACCGCTCTCACACCGGGTGGTTCTTCTGGCGGAGAGTCAGCCTTGCAAGCCCTCTATGGCAGCCCTCTGGGAATTGGCTCAGACGTCGGTATGTTGCCAGACTCTCTGGATTGATCTCTCCATTGCTAACAATAGATCCAGGTGGTAGTATCCGCTCCCCCGCCGCCAATTGTGGCCTCTACGGCCTAAAACCATCGACCGGTCGGCTCCCGCTGATCGGATGCGCTGCCTATATTCTCGGATGCGAGACGATTATGGGAACCCTTGGGCCTATTTCACCAACACTTGGCGGCGTTGAACTTTTCATGAAGACGATAATCGAATCAAAGCCTTGGGTCAAAGACTCGATGATGCTTCCAATCCCTTGGAGAGACCAGGAGAGGCACATTCACCTCGATAACAAGAAGCTAACCGTCGGCGTAATGTGGACCGACGACGTGGTTACTCCCGCACCGGCAGTGACAAGGGCCTTGAAGGAAGTGGTTGAGCGTCTTAAATTGGTGGATAGCATTGAGGTTATTGAATGGAAGGCATATCAACAGAAGGAGGCTCTCGAGATTCTTGTAGGTGGTCTATATCACTTCAGTGATCAATATGAGCCGAACTAACCATGGACATATATAGACCAGGCTTTATGCCCCAGATGGTGGAAAGGCATTTGCCAGGCATGTCGAGGCCTCTGGTGAGCCATTTACGCCGCTACCGTCTTGGACTTTGCGAGATACCCCTGGCATCGAAGAACTTAGCCAGCAGGGCGTGTGGGACTGGACTGGAAAACGGGAGATGTTCCGCTACGCCTACTTGCAAGGTAAGTACATCAATCATCCCATGATCGTTCCTGATTCTGATCTGACTTCGTTCCAATATAGAGTGGAACAATGTTGCGCCTGAGATGGACGTTATACTCTGTCCCGCATTCCCCACGCCCGCCCCCCTTCACAACACTTCGAGGTACTGGGGTTACACTTCTTTATTCAATCTGCTCGATTATTCGGCCCTTGTGTTCCCCGTTACCAAGGTGGATCCAGAGAGGGATGCCAAGGACACCACTTACACCCCGAAGAACGAATTTGACAGCTGGGCATACGAGCAGTATGACCCGGTAAAGCAGAAAGATGCACCTGTTTCTTTGCAGCTAGTTGCTAAGAAGTTGGAGGAAGAAAAGTTACTTCAGGCATTCAGAGAGATCCAGGAGAAAGTCGGCCTGCCGTTTGTGAATTGTCTGGCTTGATTACGTCTTGGGGAATCAAATTTCATTTGGAATGAGATTGTAGATTTTTGTCTGGCGCAGGCTCGTCTTACATATCTATCAGTGGTTTGAACAGCAATATATCAAGTCTCGTGACAACTACCGATGTCCTGCATTTTATAGATCTTGTCTTACTCTATATACAGCCGTCGTTCCAAATCTAGACAGACCCCTTCCTTACCAGCATAGGCAACCTTGACGGCCAACTTAATGATGTCTACATTCCCTTGAAGACTTGAATTGAGTTGAAGAGCTCACTCTCCCCAGATGATGCTGCTCAAACCCGTCGACGAATTACTAGCCTGGCCGGGCTGTCCAACCTCCAGGTTGGCAACTAGGTTGCCAAGATTTCCACTCTGCGGATCTCTTATAACGATGGCTACATTAGATGAAGCCTGGTCGCCAATGGCCACCAGGGTGCCCTTCTTATTGATGGAGAAAGTGCGGGGAATGGCGCCATATGAAGAGGTGATTTCGTTGAAAGTCACCGTGCCGTTGGACGAACGCGCCAAAGTCGAGACAGAGTCATTTGGAGGGAATCCTTGATCAAAGCGAATCGAAACATAAAGAGAAGTCCCAGCCATAGCGAGCTCCGCCGGCACCGCCCCAGTCGGTAACTGTCCGCCTGGGTATGGCACAAAGGATTGAGTCTCCCGGAACCCGAGGCAACCGGATGATAAGTAAGATACAAGGAGCGCATTAAAGTGACCGCCTAATTCACTGACGGTGTACAGCATAGTCACTGGAGTTTGCGCTGAGTCCAAGGAGTTAGATTTCCAGAACAGTCCGTGTCGCGGTCCACTACCGGCCGTGTAATTAAGACTAGGGCACACATTTAGACGTCCCGAGTGCTGATCAATGGCGTACACGCGGACCTGGTCGGCGCCTAAATCGGGAACAAGGAGAAAATCACCGGTTGGATCGAGGATCACCTGATGAGGGTGCGGCGCATCCTGCTGGGGTTTGATACCCGGCTGGGACATTTGGTAGCGGAAGACCTGCAGGGCCTCCTTATCAGAGCTAAGGGGTAGAGCAAAGGTTGAAAGGGCGGAACCGCCGCTGGTGAATGTTAGTTTGTGCGTATCTAGGTTGGCCTACGCAGCTGGCTTAAGTATATATCAGAATCACTCACTAATGCGCAATAGCCAAATACTTTTCGCGTCCGTGCTTGCCGCCATAAATAGTACTGTGGACTGCGGAGCCCACGTCAACGGTCTTTGCGAGCTCCGTCAGTTTCCCATCCCGATTTACGGAGTAGGAGCTTAACGAGCCATTCTTAGTCCCATTGCCCGAGTGATCGGAGCAATAGAGTGTGCGCGCTGACGAATCGAACGTAAGCCAACTAGGAGCATCGCCACATGTTTTCAAGGACGAAGAGATCGAAAGCGAGTTTTTGCCATCGAGAGAAAGTGTGTAGATGTTGCCGTTATAGTGGGTGGCATAGAGGTTCGTGGCAGCTGCCAGGGATATAAGGAAAGCAAGACAGCGGACCATGTTGGAACTGGAAATGGCAGGAGAAGATAAATAGAGGGGGCATACGGGGTAAATGAAACAATATATACTTCTCTATAGGGATGTAATTTCCCCGGCACGTCCCCTCTGTCCTAGTTTGATATGCTTCTTGATTTTGTAGATTTCTCCGCAAGTCCCTGCATAGAGGTCGTGCCTCTGCCTAATAGGTGGAATCTATTTCAACGGCCGTTAGGATCGACATTGGCTCCACTAGATTGCCCATTCTGGAAATGACCGACATGCCGGAGAAGAGTTAAGCAATCCCGTTTAATGTCAATAATCCGACAGACCTAAGTCATCCTGCATCCCACGCCCTGCCAGGCCAAGTGCCGGAAATGATATTAGTAATCAGATTAGTCCTGAAATTCGTTTAGCTTCCAAGATGCCCGACAAACGTGAAGCTGGCAAAGCAAAATCGAAGAAGCTGCTGTTGGAGTAATGCGGACGTCAACCTCTTCAACAGGTCAGCAGCTCGGGCAGAGCTGCGCAACGGAAGGGAAAGCTAGAAGGGGTTTCGCGCACTGGATGAAACGCTTGAAAAGCACCTCGAGCAAGAGCGCAAAGGTTGACCGCATGACAGACTTGGCCAATAAGGGATTTTTTTAGGACAGAAGCCTGGGGATAATCAAGTATCGCCACATACGAATAGGGAAAGGCTAGAAAATTTCCTCTACTGTGCAGTCGTTAGTGAGGAGCTTTGTTCAACCGAAATCCCTCCATGGTCGAGTATCCAGATCAAGTGTCCGAATGATCATCATCAGAGCTGCTTGCTGCGAATGCTTGTCGAAACTCACGGTCATATTTCATCTTATCAGCAAGCTTGCTCGCCACAAATTTTCCCACGTCTTCCCCCCATACAAGGGCATTATTTCACCAATATGTTTTGAATCGTTCTTGGACAATAAGGGCTGGATGCGCTCGTAGAACAAACTAAAAAGAGCGGTGGGACTGGAGAGCGCCAGGGAATACCAAACGTCCCCAACGCTCATGCCTTTTCCATAACCTCCGACAGTCGTAGCGGTGTTTTCCCGGCAGCCTTCGAGAGGAAAATGCGGGATTTTTCCGTCTCTTCAGCATTCATAATGGTCAACAGTTCATTCCATAGTCTGTGATATTCTTTGACATCGGTCTCGTCCGCTCCTTTATTTGTCAACTAATAAGGAGGTTCGACCATTTGAATGGGCCGGGAGTAAGCCCATTCGAGATCGACTAGGCAAGTGATATGCCATTCATAATCAACGAAGGTATTGCTTTAATAGAGATCGGTCAACGTAAACACAGGGGGCCCACGATAAAAGTCTCGACGGAAAAACAATAGCGCTATCGTCCGTATTGCAGCCAATGCCGACATTTGATAGCCGCAATCTTATACGTTATTTATAGTATTAGGCTGATTTTGTAGGCGGTTGTTATAGACTCCTGAGATGTCCGTGATATAAGGCTCAACGGTAGAATAAGTATACTCGCGAGGTAATCTAGTCGGGATCTTCTCATTTTCTAACTCTTATAGCTCTATTAGAAGCGGGTGGTTGCTTAATGTGAAATAACCTTCCTTATTGATAATAAAGGACCTAATACAAGGTAAAGGCGTTCTACTAATACTTAATAGGATCTGAGAAAGACCTCTAAAGAAATCCGTCCGTAACTCGATGTTGGGTTTTAGACCACGTGTGAAAGCATCGTCCCTTAGGTTTCCTTAATACGCTCTATCAATAAGTATCCGGCCTCGCTCACACTATCTAGACAGGGCTAAAGTGTATTTGAATAGCAAACGTATTATAAGGGCACTAGTAGGCGAAGCTATTATAGTAATCGACGGCGGACGGACTAGAAATAGCGGCTAAGGAATAGGATGTGTTCAATTCGAGTGAACTGCAGTATGGGGACGTCTTATATTTAGCAAGAATATGTGGTCTCGTACAGTTCCACCCGTCGACATAGCAAAACCGTACAGACGTGGAATAGGAACATCTAGATAGTTCTGCTGGAGCCATGCATAAGCACCAGCTTCATATTAGATCTTTTCATCTCCGTTCCTAGGCCAAAAACCCCCGCCGACGCGATACGGGAGAGGAAATCGGAGTATGACACGTTGCCCTAGCTGCTGTCGTCCGTTCCAGTTATCAATAGTAACAGGAACGCAAACGTTGAAGCTGCCACGGAGCCATTCCTCCATATTTGCAATATGGCACATATCGGTGGATCCGAAGCCTAAATGACGAGCAATAACAGCTTTCACCCATTCTCATCTGTCATTGAGAAGGGAGAAGAAGCGGCACTGCTGATCGAAATAACCTAGCTGATGAAGGATATTACCTCCCGTTCCTTGGCGAGAGAATAAGTAATTTCTTCTTTGAGGAGCCGACGCGTTCTCATCATGATAATGAGTTGGGGCCCAAGTTCTGCTGAGTGCTAGGTCGCTTTGCGTTTACGAGTTAATGGATAACCTCGGAAATAGTGACACTGTGGGGCCCGGCAGGCCCAGCCCCACCCAAAAAATGGTGGAGCCGCACAGGGGAGGCCGCCAGTCCTAGCGCACAAAGTAGTAACGCGGCATTCTTCGGGACGGACAAACATTTCCCTGAGTTTATCATGTACTGTCACCGTGCCTCATACCTGAGAATAAACAAATCCCCAATCCAAATAAGCGCCTCCCGAGCTCGGGAGGGGTGGAACCCCACGCCTCTGCTAGCGGTGGTGGCGGTGGTGGTTTTTAATCGGCGGTTTCCAACTGCGAAGGTAGAACAGCAAATACACTTTTCTTTCTGTGCCAAATATCTATGAGAACTTCAGCCGTTTCAGAGTGGCACTACGAGGGTTGGCGGCTTCGAACCCCAAAGATGGGACATCCATATGATTGGATAACCCAGCTAGGGCGACAAAATCTGTTGAACGATAGGAACTGAGGTGACCTAATACCACAACCGTACAGTTAGTCGATTCAATGGTAAAACGAGTGTATCTTGTAAAGAGCAGCAAGGTGCAAAGTAGTACCAAGAACTGTGCAGGTGCTGCCCTAGGTGGCTACTATACGACGAAAGTAAATTTATAAATGACGGGCGGGACAGGTCCAGTTGCCCAATAATTCCGGCTGACACCCCAGGAGCCACCCTATAACTAACTAACACACAAAACAATCGGCAACTTATGCAACTAGTCCATCTTCGAGCTCTGGATTCCGTCAATACGTAAACTTCCTTCTGACACTGTCTTTCGCCTCTCAAATTGGCCGTCGGATGCAAACCTCCTTCTCCTGGAGATGTCTTTTAGGCAGCACGTCAGAAGACGAAAACAATGGTCTTTGGTCTCTATGTGCGCAACTTTCGAGTATCGACACGGGTTTAAAGCTTCAGCCGCTGCAGCATCATCCTTAACATCCAGTTCTTTTGCCCGGTGGCGACTTCAAGGCGCTCCAGCTCCCTCCAAACTGCAACATACATGTCTTGCAACATGCGGAAGGTATGGTCCAAGCTGCCGTTCTCACGGAGTCTATCCAGGATAAGCCTTTTTAGTTCATATGTAAGGTGGTTTGTGCGCTTCCGCTGCTCGAGGATTGCTTGGATTTCAGGTTCTGGGTCTGTCTCCCGCAGGGCATGAATGATAGGAAATGACAACTTTCCCTCATCGAGGTCCTCGCAAAAGCCTTTGCAATTTGTATACTAAGAAGTTTTAACAGACTAGCTGTGCATTAGGGACGCGACTAACGCATACCTCAGCTGATGTCAGGTTCTGATAGTCGTCTCTGACTTGGAAGAATCGACCGAGCTCAGTCATGAACTTGGATACGTTGAGGTTTCTATAACCGAAGATTAGTTATCCAACATAGCCGGATCTCTGAAAGATCAAACCAGATTGAATGCGTGATCCGAACCTGTTTGCCTTTGATTCAGACTGTAATAGTCGGGCGGCGATCCGGAATAGACTAGTTGTCTCTGGAACGCAAGGTGTTAGATCAGGGCCATAAACGAAGAATATGGCTTACTAACTCCCATCAATCATTCTCAGATGGTCCTCTTTAGATGGCACTATTCCGTGATAGGTCCAGTAGAGTTCCTGAGCCTGGCCTAGATGCAGCATCTGCAGCTCCTCTGCAGCTGGTTAGCTTAGGATAAGAGTATCTCGGTTATAGAATTCACCAATATAGATCGGGACTGCATGGTGGCCTAGAGAGTAGATTTTCTGAAGTGCTTCAACGCAGAGGAAATACGCCGAGTTCATGGTTTGCGCCTCCCCGTAGACGGTATGGGTAGATGGCTTGCCGCGTCGTAACGGTGACTGGTCTTGGATGTCGTCCAACCTTGCTAGCATTAGACTTGCTGGTTAAGCACTCAGGGAAAACAATATTCTTACATTATTGAGCAATTATGGAGGAGCCCGACGGCATTCTCTATAGTCTGCAAGGATTTCTCTGGTACTTGAAACCACTGATTCAATGACCAGACGAATTTCTCCCTCAGGCATTTTGAGGGCAGTGCCATCACATAGTGTGAAGGGTTCTTAATTACCTGTTGGGATTAGCCGTGGGAATAATTCGATATATTCTGATAGTCAATGTGCCTACCGTCTCGTCGAATGGTGCCAGATTTTTGTCGGTGTAAGTTGACAGCCCTTTGGTACCAGCATCTGGAAATGTATATCACGGTTAGACGAATGGATATCCTGCAAACAGACTTTTCTGAGTTCACGGACCTCCATTGATTTCACTAGCGTTCTCGGCCACGTTGACATGGTTCCCCTTGCCATTACCGTTCACAACGGTAGCTTGTGGTTCGCATCCGGTTTGAAAACCGCCGAACGCGTCGAGTCTTGTGCAGTCATCAGGGAAAATGTACCCTTGACGACACCTCATCTCATAATAGTCCACGTATTGATTGTTGGACTTCTTATGGTAGCGTGGACAAGTGAGACTCCAGAGCAGGTTCCCTGCAACCATATGCTCTATGATTTCAAGCCATCGTATGGTGGCTGGTGGAGGAGGTATATCTCTTTTCAAGAACTCCTCTTTGGCCGCCAAGTATTGTTCCTCCTTTTCGATAGCCTTCGCTTTAATAGCGGCCTTTGCCTCCCCTAGGGGAAGTGAATACCACCTCATGTAGAGGGTGACGGCATTAGCCATTGGCAACTTGTCCTCCGACGAGTGATAGAAAGCGTCTTCCTTTTCCCAGGAGTAGTAGTCGTTGTGAAGCGTCAAAACCTCCATGATCAGTTGAGTCAGTGGCAACACCAATTGATCTTCTTCTTCAGAGAGATCGACCTTATATGCGAAACGAGCCATTGCGAACGCCCATCTGAGATCATCAGCCCCGTCCACAGGAATAACTCGAGGTAGATAATGATTAGAAAGTTCTTACTGGCAACCCCGTACGTAGTAGCAAAGGGTGAGGAATCCCTGCAGGCTCTCGCATCGCTGGGCTTCCACTTCCGCGTACTCTTTCTCGGAGCGCTTCCAGTTCTCCCATTGCTGAATGAATTTTGGACCGAGTGTGCCGTCGATTTCGACCAGCTTGTACATGGTCTTGGCAATTACCTGCTGATTGCGTCCCTCGTCCAGCCATTCTGGGGCATAGCTGCCTGTTCTTAGGGCTTTATCCCGTTCATCGCTTCCCGGATCATATTTCGCCTTCCAAGATCAGTACTTATGATTACATACATTCACACAAACGGCCAAAGAACTCACTGTCTGAATAGTTCCCTGGAAGTCAACGTCTGCGAAAAATAGCTTTGTTTTAGCACTGAACGAAAGTCATGTTGGAAGCACATAATCTTTACCGTCGTGGATGAATGCGAAGTCTACCATATACGCGGCAATGGCAAGCCGATCGGGACAACAGAAAGGGTAGGTGAGAGCGGCCCAGTCACCACTGAATGTGTCCAGGTTGCCCATGACCATGCCAATGTTACCTTTGCCAAAAAGGTCAATCTGGCACTGGATTGTGGCATCCGCGGAAAGCTGAGAATTTTTGTGAATTCGTGGTTTGAAAGTCGAAAAATAGTTCTCATTGTGCGCAAAGAGATCAGGTGAAACAGGCCTTGAATACTGATAGACATCTTCGCTCAAATTGTTGCCTCCTGGAGCCATTGTGGAATGTTGAATTGAAAACTCATGGACAGAGATTCTTCGTTTGAGGGCTTTCGAGGTATTTAATATTTTTCTGGTAGGGAAGGGGAGGCGCGCGTATCTCTGTTCTATAGACCGAACAAGAAGCAGTATAGAGAATAAACTTCATGTGGGTATTACGTTGTCCTTATGTCGGTATTACGTTGTGCAGCGTATGTTGTGCATCTGCCCCTTTGGTGTGCGGAAACTACATCCATCCACGGGTATGCGTACGTTGTGCAGTAGAGCCAGCTCTTCGTCACGAATTATGTCGCGTGTCTATAACTCGATAAACATCCCGAGCCTTTTCAAAGCTGTCTATCAGCTCTGCGCGTGTATTTATTGTTCTTTAACGAGCGGCCATCTCCTGTTGGTTGCTGTTAGGTTCTTCCAAAACCTTACCTAGGTATGTTATTCTCACCTGGTGCTCGATCGGCGTTTCTGATTGGCCCTCATTCATTGGATGTGCAGTTCTCCTCTATACTTCTCCTCATGACAGCATAATATATCCGATATGGCAGTGGTTTTATCGACTGCAAGAGATCAGGCTACTCGACGTGCTCTTAAACCCTGCTTTAACTTCCAAGAATTCAATATCATCTTCGAAGGCTCTGTGCGGCAGAACTTGGTCTCCCTCGTGCGAGAAGCGTGGCTATCTTGAACTACAAATGCAAGGAAGCCTCTGGAAGCAAGGCTGAGATAGGCGGTGGCGCGATCATGGCTCCAACACTCTCCGCTCTTGTGAGCGATAAGCCAGCGGATACTGGTATGATCGACGATGAGCAGACCCATTCCCCCGTGGAATAACCCAAGGGATTCGCGCTTGCAATGACCGTTGTGGCTTTTTTCATCAGGGTATTCCTAGTTTCTCTTGATGTGGTGAGTGTCTCCTTGCATGATGAGAAGAGAAACGACTGACCAAGCAGACTATAGTAGCAACAGCAATACCCCGAATTACGGACACGTTTCATTGCCTCGACGGCATCGCATGGTATGACTCTGCCTTCTTTATGACAATTGGAGGCTTCCAGACAACCTCGGGCAAAGCGTACAAATATTCCTCACTCAAAGCGTACAAATATTCCTCACTCAAAGCGACTTGTATTCTCTCCATCTTCATCTTTGAGTTTGGCAGCCTGATATGCGGGCTTGCCTCGAATCCCGTGACCCTGTAGGTTTAGTGTTTCAGGAATCAGCAAAGTTGAACGGAACTAGCTAACCCTGGTCGCCGTGCAGCATTGTTGGCCGTACAATTGCTGGCTTGGGAGCGGCAGGCATTGGTGTGGGCGCATATACCATCATCGGTTTCGCAGTTGAACCGAAAAAGCGGCCAATGTTAACAGGCCTCATCGGCGCATCCTATTGCATCGCATCTGCTATAGGCCCTCTCATGGGCGGCGGATTTGCCGAGAATGTCACATGGCGTTGGTGCTTCTATATCAACCTTCCTGTCGGCGGCTTGTCCGGCCTGATGATCCTGCTCTTCTTCCAGACTCCAAGTGGCGCCAAACCGGTCGAAGCCACGCTCAAAGAGAAGCTTTTACAGATGGACCCGGTTGGCACAGCTCTGGTCATCGGAGCTGTCATCTCCTACCAGCTGGCCACGCAATAGGGCGGACAAACGAAGTCGTGGTCCTCGCCCGATGTTATTGGCCTTCTCGTTGGTTTCGGGGCACTTTTGACTCTCTTTGCCGCCTGGGAGTTCTCACAGGGTGAGCGGGCTATACTGGTATTGCGACTAATGCGCCCTCGCGCAGTGTGTGTGAACATGCTCTGTGCCTTCTTTTCAGCAGGCTCATACTTCGTTATTGTCTATTACTTGCCCATCTACTTCCAAAGCATTGACAAGGTTGGGCCCATAGACTCAGGCATTCGGAACCTGCCTCTAATCCTGACAGTCAGTTTTGCAACTATTGCTTCAGGTGTAAGCATCTCGGTAGCAGGTGTCGCAGCCCCAATTCTAGTCGCCGCAGCTTCCGTCTCCACCGTCGCGGCGGGACTTCTATACATGCTCGATATCGGCACAGCAGCCAGAAGTTGGATTGGTTATCAAGTCCTCGGTGGCGTCGGTTGGGGTGCCTGCTTCCAGATCCCCACGATCGTGGCCCAGGCCAGCGCGGAGCGGCAAGAGCTGGCATCTGTGACGGCCGTTATCCTGTGTATGCAACGACCCCAGTTTCCTTTTGTGATACTGTCATGTTACTTAGCTAACACACCTGCATCCCCAGTCTTCCAGACTCTCGGTGGCGCCTTCTTTGTCTCAGCAGCACAGGCTGCCTTTGTTAATCAGCTCATTAGGCAACCGCCCCTCGTGGCGCCAGACGTGAATTCGGCTGCAGTGGTTGCCACAGGTGCGACGCAGCTCCGGGCTATGTTCGACGAAAAGCAAGTCCCGGGAATCCTTCTTGCGTACATGGCTGGCATCCGCATAGCGTTTGCCATCGCCATCGGTGGCGCCGGAACTGTATTCATGTGCAGCCTGTCCAGTAGCTGGCGGCTGCTGGACGGTAATGCTCCTAATAATACCGGCGTCATGTGTTAATAACCAGAAGAAAAAGAAGACTTATTGGAATGCATTCTCCTAAAGCACTAATTACACCTTATTCACGACCGTACGGTAGATAAGGTCGAATCGGAAGCCATTCGCAGCTCTCTGCTATCAAACCTGCTCAACCGGAGTCGCATTGCTTTGAGTCCACAAGAGTTCAGTTGTGTTGTGGAAGACGGACTCAATTAAAGAATGCTGTTGTTATAGTATTCCACATACAGCTTCATATGACGTTATTAACTACGTGTTCAAAGCAGGCCTTTGCTCGAATACATTAGCATGGAGTAATAGAATAGGACGTGTGGTTCTGTTTTGTTGGTTTCTAGGACCGCCGTAATGATTAGTGGGGATACTCGGGGGCGTCAGTATTCAGCTGTCAGAGGTGAAATTCTTGGATTTGCTGAAGGCTAACTACTGCGAAAGCATTCGCCAAGGATGTTTTCATTAATCAGGGAACGAAAGTTAGGGGACCGAAGACGATCAGATACCTTAACCATAAACTATGCCGATTAGGGACCAGTCTGTTTTTTTACTGGTTTGGCGGGGAGAGGCAGGTAACAACGCCCGAGGATCAAGCTCAAATTCTGGAGGACAGGTGCAGGAATTGGGGGAAGCGGCAGAGTGAAACATTCCCAAGTTGACAAAAGCAGTTATGTTAGATAGACTGTGGTCATATATGCTCCCGATGGAGAGAATATGAAAGCGCTTCCCAAAAGCAAAAACATACAACAGCATGTCTAAGGTGGTGGTCACCTAGCGCCCACGGTTCGGGCATGGCGGTACGCCGCTCTATTGAGGGCACTCAGGGCGGATATTCACCCACTTGAATATTCTTCACCCGATACTAGGTAGAGCGGCGAGTAGATCTATTCTAGGGTATTAGTCTACTCGTAAGTAGTATTAAGTGTCAGCCGGAATTACCCTTACCCCGCTCCGTCATTTATATATTTACTTTCTATATCCAGTAGCCACCTAAGGCATCACTTGCTAGAGTACTCGGAAGATCGGCACTGCTTTATAAGCCCATACTAGGATAAATAGTTGATCACTTGCTGCTCTTTGAATACACACTCATTTTTACCACTTGCTCGGTATAGTAAGTTTTTGGTATTAGTTCACATTAGTGTCCCTCGTTCGACAAAATACTAATGATACGCCACTGTACGTCGTGGACTTTTACTATGTGAGAGGTACCAAAGTGGTAATTGTGTTGTAAGGATGTATTATGATTTGTCTGTATTGTCATATTCGCGAGTACAATTTATTTGTAAATGACCGTAGAGTAAAAACTACGCGCTAGTGACTTGGCAGTGGGGCCGCAAAATAGAAAAGCAATGTTTTGGGCGGAAGCTGATTTCGCTAATGACTGTATCGTCATCGATGCAGGTCAAGTAGATAACATGATGCCCAAGGGTATAAAATAGCACCCCAGGCAAGAGAAAACTGATTCTCCTCAAGAATCAAGAATCAGTTACTGTGTTAACAGTCTACTGCCTTTCAAGATCGATTCAATCCGCATTGTCTCTCTCTTATCTGGCCAACAGGCATCTACCCTGACTTAGACTTCTCTTTACACCATGCTGCCTTCAATCCGTCTGTGCCTTGTTAGACTGCCATCGGGCCTTTCGCCTCATCAACAGATAGAAATAAATGGAAATATGAAACATCTAAGCGCCAGGATCATCCATCACTATCACAATTCGATAGCTCTACCAGACCAATAAGCACCTGGCGCAGCTTGAACTACCACTAATGAAAAATGGTGAAAGAAAAATAGGCGCTGGTCGTCGTTGATCATGTCTCAAAAGGCACCACGGCGTCAATTTGATTAATGCTACCAATTTCGGGGCATTTACCGCCAGCCACAGTTTCAAAATCCATTTTCCACCAATAATTAGACAACTAAGAACCAATAAGGTGAGTGATGCCGACTGGTCATGATAAAACGGCACGAGCAGTTATAGGGGTCAGTGTACAACAAATGCAAATTCTATAGGATGAGCACGCGCCTGTGCTTATGGGAAAGTTGATTTACTAATAATAGACGTCGGAGGCCGAGAGAAGTACTAATCAGTCATACCCAGCGGCAATGTCAAATCGAGACAGGATTAGGTATATAAAGCCTGCTATCAACGCAAATTCCAAAGAATGAACATTCTCGATATCAAACTGTGAAAGCAATCGCGTCCACCCAAAAGAAGGTGTTTGAAATTGTTGCAAATCAAAATGTGAGCATTTGTGTTTCCATATCATCCTATCTCAGCTAACCAGTCATGTTTATCTAGTTGGCCACGCCAGTTACGGGTGGCTCTTTTGGAATGAATTTTCAACCGCCAACTTTCCAGCCCTTGCGATTTGTGCCAGCAGGGGCACAAAACGAGATATTGAGCAAACCTGTCTTGTGGGTCGACTCTGTTGGCCACGAAAGGCTTTCTAAAGGGGGCAATCACTGGTGTCTCTATCTTCGTGTTGGCGAAAGTCGTTCGGTACGAATTGACATCACGCCCTCATATACCGTACCCAGTACGTCGATCTCGGGAGGCTCCAAGGCCAATATGATTGTTAGTCTATTGAATTATGCCTTCTCGCGATCGGCTCAGAAAGTCATGAGGCTTGACGTCCTGCGCGGCAAGACAGTACGCGAATTTGTCGACCTACTTATCCAGCACGGCCGCCACAAGTATGAGTTTAATTCCCAGGGTCAAGGGTGCAGATATTAGACCGACCATCAGATAAACCTTTTTCATCAACGTGGTCTTTTGGTGAATCAATCTCAAGTCCAAGCGGCCAAGGCAGCCATCCTCACCCAGTGGCCAGATCAAATGCAATACCCTCTTGTGCAAGGCGGCTACTATCAGTGACTGTCTATCATCTTAGAATTTATTTTATTTTTTATTTTTATTTTTTGGATTTTGGATTTTGGATTTTGGTGTTGGATTTTGCCTCTGCGAAATGTATGTGGTTTTACCTGATCTGATTTATCTATGTCTGGCCAGCTGACCTATATCAAAGTTGCCACTGTTTTCTCTGATTTGGCGCTCTCATTTGGTGATGTATTGTCACGATCTGCTCGTTCTTGCTGCCTGATGCCTGAGGCTAAGAGTTGTTCAGTTTGCATCCCCTATGGGGATTTATTCATGTACGATAGCTCTCTCTCTCTCTCTCTCTCTCTCTCTCTCTCTCTCTCTCTTCAGTTTCGAAGGCTTCGTTGAATGGCACAACTTCGTCAGTTCCATCGATTCTGAGCAGTTTCCGGCATCGTCACATGCGGTGCCATGGACTCGTTCGAAGACATCCATTAGAGCATATTAGACATAGACCCGGAGTTGCGAATCTGCTCCAACTAGCAAAAGGTTGGTCAGAGCAAGCCAAAACTAGAGGTAGATTCAAGCAGGTAGCCCGTCTCAAAGGAGCGGGGGTGATGGGCCATGGAAATATTCTCCTCATATCTCTAATGGCAGTCATATGGGAATCTTCCCTTACGGACGCAAGCTGCCGCAGGACAGGGCCGTGTTATCTAGGGACAAAGGGTCCTCCATCTAGGTTGTACTTTGCGGCGGTATTATAGACATTCGTCTTTCACGGACAGGTTGCATTATTCACTGGCCTCATGCTAGTAGTGCGGGTTCTAGGGATGCCAGGCTAGCAGAGCCAGTCGACATTAGGGTCCGCGAGGTTACAGACGAAAGCTCGTGGTAACCTAGGAGCACACTCTTGACTCTGAGGCTCTGACGAATACTCCAGAGAAGAAACGTGCGGAAGGTAACAGCCGACGCTTACGATCTTACAGAGCGGACTCCAAATGTCTATCGGTTTTTAGGAGACAGAAGAAGGACCTTTATTTTTGTACTATAGTATACGGGATTATAGTTAGGGAATTTTGGTTCCAATAAACGTCACACGTAAGCTTTCTTAGTATCCCCTTTCTATGCCAGGCTTAAAGAGAGCAATAAAAAAACTAAGAAGCACAGGGCAAATACCCGGACAGGTGAATAATGAACGAGCTGTCTGCCCATTACTATTCTGATGGTGGAGATAACTGCATAATAAGATCAATACTCCTAAAGCAGCGGTGGAAACAATTAATTGGCGCCCACAAACGGCGGTTAATGTCAAAAATACAGTTCAATTAATCAGTATCTAAGGAGGTTAAATATATGAGAAGACCCTATCTAGCCATTCGCTCGTCTAAGACAGCCGTTGCGGCGCTCGGGGCCTGCCGCTGGCCGCCCCTAAAAACAAGTTGTTGGTGATCATATTTTCCTAATATTTGGACAAAATGATTTTTTGTTTATGTATCACTTACAGGTACCCTGACCCATCACTGAGCGATACGCAGGCTACAACAACTATCTCCCTATATGTATGTGTTTTGTGCACAGCCTCTTAAAAAAAGATCTTAGATCCTCGCCAAGGTTTGCATTAGCCTAACTCCTGGTTCGCCAAAGCCTAGTGCCGCTTCAATCACATAAACAGGACAGTCTTGCCTGTTAACATGTTAAGCATGCAAAAGGAACGCCTAGATTGAGAATTAATTCCTAATAAAAAGCTTCTAAATAAGGTCAGCCATATTTGAAAGATCACCACGCAGGATGGATTCCGAGGGTGACGCTGACAACATGCAGGCAGGGAATCTAGATGATAACACTACAAGAGTGGAAGCGAAAGGTCTTCTAAAATGAAAAGAACAGGCTCGTATGATCGTTGTTTACAGTATGCTATCCATATCTATATATATTGTTATACGAGTCCAGTCGATAACTTCCCGTTGCTCTCAAAGGCATCCTTGGCAACAATTCTCGAGAGCGTATTAGTTTTAGAAGCTCTATTAAAGATAAGAACAGACTTAGACACCGTGATTTAGTGAGCTAACATAATGAGAATCACAATCGACACTAGAAGGCTCTTTAGGTTGGTAAAAACCTCTACTCATCGAAATATGGATACTGCTAGTAGGTACTCTTGATATTGTTCTGTTGATTTTCCTATTAAAGTTATCTAGCTGTCTTAAAGATGTTGCTTGTGGATACGACTTGTCAGTACTACTCATTAGTGTTGTCCTATAAGCACTCTCTGTTAGGGGTCCGTTCCAGTTTTGTTTTCGTTGATTTTACTACTCATAACCATATTATGTTTCGTATTCTATCCCATTAATTTAGTCTTCGTAGTTTCTCGTCTATACATTCAACAAATCGATTCCAATATATTATTCCTATCTACCATTCGCTAACCACAAAGATTAGTTTAACAATAGCTTAATCTACGGGCGTCTTCTTATTGATGCTCTACTTTACTACTCCAAGTTAATTTTATCCAGAAGACACTACTTGTTTATACTACTCGTTAATAGTACTTATTGATACTACTTGTTGCTTTTGTCCTAATGTAATCCACAAGCGAACGGCGCGCACCCCAAAACACCATAGTAAATGCATGATTTATACAACTCGATATTTTAACAACCATAAGTTAGTCTTATTTGATTATCAGTATAGCACTATTAAGAAGCATATTAAATAGCATGAACGGACTCAAATTTAAAATAAAAAGTTACCTTTATTGGTCATACTGGCCAAAAATTATATATATCTGAATCAGAAAACATCATAAATCTTTTAAACTATTACACGCCAAGAGGACAGTTCGAAAACTACCTGTGCATTCAACGAAAGTATCCAGACTAGGGGGGAAAAAAAGAAGAGAGATCTATCTGGTGGGGTGATCTTTATTATGGTCCCGATAAGAAACGCCTTTTCTTATCATCCCGATTCGGCCCTATTTGATCCCATTCGCGTCTTAGTCGTCACAAAAACATTATATTTAGGCTAAATATGATCTAAATAGTACTAGGATATAATCAAATATCATCTTAAGCTATTGTTGCTAAGTTATCGATTTATCGCATTGACTATGGTGTTTTAGGGTGCGCCGCTCGCTTATGGATTACGTTAAATAACTAGTCAACTAGTTAGTTAACGACGCCGTACAAGAGGTGAGTGCCCAAGGGACTGCCCAGCTGGTGGTTCTGTGGTGTGGAAACACTTGGCCCAAGGCAACATTGAAGTCAGCCTCGCCGCTGATTTGGCCAATCCTGGGCTGAAATTTGATGGTACATGCAGGTGCCAAGAGACCGCGGTTCTAGGAAGATCGAGGAGAACCAATACCACTATACCTGAGCTTACCTGAGAGGGTCTGTATGGTGGCCGTGCGTCGAAGGGTGATTCTCACCCGGCTCTCACCCAGCTTCTCACCCCATCTATTGCGCACTCACCCTTCTCACCCATTTCTCCCCTAGGCGACAGACACCCGACTACTCTCCACAGATAAGCCCATTATAGTACGCGGCCAATTCTCAGCGCGCCCTGAGCTCTAAAATGGGGTGGGATTTGATCTTAGGGTGAGTCTGGGTGATATGGGCGAGAATTCTGGAGACCGGGGTGAGAGAGGTGAGAACAGGGTAAGAACGGGTGAGAATTGTCACCCCGAGGTGGCCACGCTAGCATAATATTATCCAATTTACCTATTTAGGACTAAATAAAACATATTGACGACGGAGGAGGGAAGAGAAGAGATAGATGCCTGATGGTTGTGAGAGAAGAAGCTATGAAGCTATCTACACAATAGGGCAAGGCGGCGAGCGAGGTGCTGGCAGAATCCATAGGCACCTCTCTCAACACTAGTTTTTGACGGGATCTAGGCGGTGAAGGGGTAGGCAGACAACCATGATGAGGAACCAACAGATGAATGAGAGTGCTACCTATGAAGCCCCTGAGCCTACCAACCTATAGGGGCAGAATGACTAAGTACAAAGCAATCGGCAATCTAAATAATCCGGTTCCGGTCTCTCTGGATTCCGACAGTCTTTAAGATTAGTCCCTTATCCTGTTTTCTAATTAAAATAATATAAGTTGAATTAGGTATGCTTCGTAGCTAAATAACCCGCAATTCGAGTCCGAATCGAATTATGTCGGATTGCTTTAATAGTCTCTTTTTTCGGTCTCGTCGTGGAGGCTACAGACGAGAGAACCCCTGGGAGAAGAACAAAGAGAAACTAGGTGCATGGACCTGGAAAGACTCCCGAAACTATCTACCTCAACTGTGATGGGGGCGGTGACGCACTAGGGCGGACTCGACGGGCCTCTTCGGCAGAATGGGGCGCCACAACACATTGGTCCTTGTTTGTCAAGGTCTAAGTAGAATAGTAGATAGGACTTAGCGGAATCTACCCTCTGACTAGTATATCCTTCTACTATAGTCGGGTCACGTGTAGTTGCCAACCGTTCTATAAGGAAGTGCGGTATTCTTTGTCATAGTTGATTGGAGGCCATTTCTTGCTTTCTGCATAGGTGCCCGTTTGCACGTGACTTAGTGCTAGATGTCATGTCGTCCCGAAGGGTTTGCAGGGTTTGCATCCCTTAGTGGCCTCAGGCACTCCACAGGGAGTGGATGCCTGAGGCTGGCCAGGGCCAGGGAGTGGTCCTGGGCGCACAGAGAGAAAGGGTTTCTAT